TTTTTGTATTATTCGTGTATAAATGCAATTATTGCTTCCTATAAAATACATCCAATTGCCTGAAAGGTTTGTACAGTAATTTTCTGGAAAAAATAATTTTTACCTAATTGGTGGTGCACTTCTATGTTATAGAGGACTAAAATTTTTTTAGACAACTTCTTGAAAGAAAATATGTAGTAATTGCTCTATTGCGGTGGGCAATGCATGTAAGCGATGTTCCAACTGTGGACAGCTCATTCCAAAGAGGCCCTCTTCCGTCTCAATACCACAATATTCGACCACGACAAGACAAAAAATGCTGCTGATGAAAAGGGTTAGATATGTGTTCTTTAATGTATCTTACGGTATTGGAGCAGATATTAAAATATCAATGTATAATTTGATTGGTTTCGGAATTGGACTTTTGGTAGGCTCAGACTCTTCATCAGAACCACGGTTATCATGTGGTGGTAATGTATTACCACCCATCAACCACTGGAGGTCCAACCGTCTGGGATTATGCTGCAACTCCTGGCTTGGCGACAGATTTTATTAGCAGCAGTGGTGCAATTGGAAAATCAGCCAGAAACTTGTTTCAAACCGGGATGAAGAAGTTATGGCAAGATAGAAATGAAGATAGTCAATCTACAGATCTTTCATCTACGAATACTATCCCTGCCTCTACTATCCCTGCCTCTACTTCCCCTTCCGTGTCGTTTTCTGTTTCCCCTTCTTTTTCAGCATCTTCATCTGTTACAACCTCTCTTCCAGTTAGTAGCGCTGTTTGTCAAAAAACTCTGCCAGCTGTTTATGGCCAATTCACTTCAAATTTAACTAGGCAAAGTTATTGTAGTGAATTACTTTGAATATAGCTAGTATCTGGTGGTTGTGATATTAAATCTTGAGTCTTCATAGACTCCAGTTTAAATTTGAGTCCTTATATACTCCAGTCTAGTGTCTTCATCATGAGTGATCTGATGTTAAAACTTGAGTCCTTATATACTCCAATCTAGTAGTGTCTTCATCATGAGTGATCTGATGTTGAAACTTGAATCCTAATATACTCCAGTCTAGTGTCTTCATCAGGAGTGATCTGATGTTGAAACTTGAGTTCTTATATACTCCAGTTTAGTATCTTCATCAGGAGTGATCTGATGTTGAAACTTAAAGTGCACCTCCAGGCAAAATTTTTTATTGGTTATATCGAATCTATGTATGATGGCCAGCATATATGCGAAAAATTTTTTAAATCGGTTATATCTTTCCTTTTTTATGGCGGTTTGAAGTTGACAAAAATGCACTTCTTGATGGACCATGTCCGTCGTTACAAGAACCTGGAACGAGCAAATTTTATGACGTCACGCAAGATACTTGGCAAATATTAAAAATTCGCGTTATTATCAATAAAAAAGATTCGATTCCAGGAAAAGTAACGAAGTTCAATATTTAAACATAACTACTCAACCATTGACAGAATATTGGCAAACAAAAATACTCTACCATTGGCAGAACATTGATAATTGGGAGGGGGGGATTCATATATTCATATGTTTATTCTACTTGTAGGGTCATTTTTGTTAAATTAATACTACTTTAAACTTTTTAGTTCCACATGATATCAATTTGCATTGACAATTGGGTTGTGTTGTGAAATATGGCTGCAGTGTAAATAACCGCTTTGAATTTTATATTTTTATGAAATGAACAGTCAATGGTGAGCACAAATTGGCATACTTTATGATGCTTAAGTTTCGTAAAATGGCATAAAATATCGGTATTGGCACAATATCGGCATTTAAATATCTGCTAATTGTTATAACGCTAAATATGTATATTGGTGCATCACTAGTGATAACACTTTAACATTTCTCAGAACCCAAGAATACCAGCCATGGACAATACCAACAAGTCATTATGTACTTGTAATCAAAGCTCCAGGTACTGAAACATAAATTCCTCTTTGTTTTACAAATCAATGTTCAAAATTGCAAATGATCAACGATAAATTTCAAATGTTAAAATCATGATCATGTTTTAATCGAGTAGAACTAGTCAGAATGTAACAAAAATACAGGCATACCTCCATTCTTCAAGAACACAAACAGCCAGTAATATAAAACCAAAGACCACAGCAAATACATAACAAGGAAAGACCACATCCTCAGTCAAACGCCAGTATGTGTCCACAGGTAGCATACGAAATGATATCTTACATAAGTACAGCATAGCATCAAAATCTCTTTACAACTGACAAAAAACACAGTTGGATAAGATGGTTGTATATGATACAAACAAGGTTTGCTGGACACATTTTTTTAGCAATCAAGCCAACTTTGTCTCTCATTATCTAAACACAAGTAGAGATGGATTTACTATCAAAGTTGCAGTAGGGTCATACCCATCTTATCAATAGCAACACACTCAAAGTTGCTTTCAAAATCAAATCTAAACCAAAGCATGCCCTATACAAATTTCTCTTGGATCAACCTCTGGCTTATACATCCAGGAGTCAATATCATTTAGTCATATTTTAAAACCCTCCTTAAGGTTTCTCAAAACAATGATAAAGTCATAAAAACCAATGAAATGAAACATTTGCAAGTTGTAAATATACAATAATGTAACAGAATGCAATAACAGTGCCTGCCATAACTCAATGTAAATTTTAAGTAGATTTTTCTTTGTCTTTGGTGACCCAATTTACAATTCAGCATTTGCATGACATTGCCAAAATTATGAACACTTTCAAAAGTACCATGTTTTTGGCTATGTGCATGTGTGCAACCAGGCAATGATGCAACAAAAAAATATCTAACAAATTGAAAATATATAGTCAATTGATTTCATGAACTTTTGGTTCAAAATGTATTTGTGCTGAAGCTAACAATCAACAAAATTGAGGAAATTTTTTAAGCATATTAATAATAAGTAATTGCATCGTTTTGAAAACATGGACTTCTAAGTTCTTCTCATCCTTCAGACTCATGCTGTTTTGATTTGATAGTTAAAACTCACTTGCACAGTTTTTTCCAAATTGCACAAGAAACCATGCTATTACCTACGTGCAAATTTATTCATCATTTTAACTCATACCTTGCTAACTTTTAAAATAACCAATTATGATGCAACTGTTAACACCAATCATTTAATGATCATGTCATTCATGAACTGGAGAACAAAGACAAACAACAGGGAACCAATGATTACAAAGGACATATTTCATAACTAAAATGAAAATATTCACATCATTTTGTTGATAAGATAAATGCTGATAATCATGATATATGTTTATGTTTCAAAACACATTTATGAATGGTGAGTATTACCTTCTTCAACTTATGAAGTAACCATCCTTGCTCTAAATTGCTTTTGTTAAAGCATTCACCCCCTCCTGACTCTGTCATAAAATAACCACCCCTCCTACAAGGTGCTTTAGTAAAAGTTTTCTTTCCATGAAATCTTTTCAATTTTTAGCCATTTCAGCAATGCATTTTTGTAACGTTTGTTTCTTCTGCAATTTGTCAGCTGCATGTTTCACAATGAAAACTAGATGCAAACTTTTACTGTCAAGCAGATGAATTTTTATGATATTTCAAAGAAACCAACAACAAGTTCACTGTCAAAATTTGAAATTATGTTGAAATCAAGTAATTTCCATTTGCAGCCTTCATCTTTGTAGTCTGTATGCAAATCAAATGAAATCTCCATTTGAATTTAATGACAACACAAACAAATGGTCAAATTATTAACAAGCATTTGTTAACTCAATACACATTGTTTAATGTATCAATGCTCATATGTAATTCATAGCTTTAATGGAAAGTCATGTACATTTAGAAATCTCGACGAATCGGTCAATTTGACAGTTTCCTCCAAGGTCCGAATTAGCGCTTCGCAAATCGCAAATTGCGAAGTGATTTCGATTTTGGCGAAATATTGCGAAGCAAATTTCGTAAAATTGCGAAGCTCATTTCGCATTTCTTGTTATTTAATGTAAATTTGCTTACTGAAAGCACTCTTTTTATATTGCTGTGATGGATGTGTTTTTATTATGCTTTGCGAAATATCAAATGATCAAATTTCTTGCACTATTTGCATAATTTCAAAGCGTTGCTATTACATCATGCCTCAGGAATGTGACTAACAGGAATTTATCCTAAAATGGTCGCAACTTTTTAAAAAACGTCGCTATCAATTGTAATATGAAACGTAACATTTTCAATATTATCTGAAAACGCAAAGTGACAAAGTCACAAACTAATACACACTGCATACGTTAACGATGGCGAAGCAAAGACTGTAGAAAATTGGGAGGAGATTTAAACGTTAAATTGATCAAAAGTCTTAGTACAGATAAGAAAAAAGTAGAAGCGTTAAAATGTTCTGCCTGTGTGGAATTCTCCTCAAGAATTTCTTCAATAGCTGGTTTTTCGCAAGCATGGATAGATGGGACAACATCTGTCAAATTAGATAGCTTGAAAAACATGTCCAAGGTAAAAGCACATCAACATGCAAAACGTCTTTTGATCAGAAGTCCTTGGGCGAAACTTTGGCGCACAAGTTGTTGAACGATCTCAATTGGAAGAGGTTTGATCAAAATGGCAGAGATTGACAGGAAAGTAATGATTACTCGTTTCAACACTGCCTACTATTTAGCCACTTCAGAAAGACCCTATAGCGATAGTGAGGGCATCATTACGTTAAACGAAATGAACGGAATGATTCGCAGTTCCAAATTCCGAAACGAGCGTGCTATGGCAAACATCACTGATTCAATTGCTGACAAACTCAAGCAGAAGCTGATGTCTGAATTGAAGAAAACACGCTATTTTTCTTTGTTGACCGACGGCAGCACTGACAAAGGCGTTTCTGAACAGGAAGTTTGTATCTCCTTTTATAAGCAGTGAAGGTAAATGCAATACACCGAACTGAATTATTTCGATTCTTGTCTTTAGATGCGTTATTTCTATTTTTTCAATGGACAGGTATCCCTCAAATGAGGTTTTTAGCAATTGAATCACCTACATCAACAAGTGCAGATGGCCTTAAGAAGATGATACAGGATTGCTTTTCCCGGTTTCACATGAACAATTTCCCAAGACAACTGGCAGCGCTAAACGTGGATGGAGCTTCGGTAAATTTGGGTAGCATAAACGGACTTGCAGCCAAACTTCGCAAAGACTCACCATGGCTGCTTACTATTCATTGCTTCAATCATCGCCTTGAACTGGCTGTTAAAGACGCATTTAAAGGAACAGGTATGGTGTCACAACAGTTAGACACTTCTTTTGTTTAAGATGTTGAATTTCAGAATAATGTGTTCGTAATATATACATTACTCATTTAATCAGAATTTGACGAAGTGGATGAGCTCCTGACTAAATTGTATTACTTGTACCAAAAGTCGGCAAAGCGCTATCGCGAATTGAAGGGATTCAGCGAGATTTTCGAAAGAGCATAGCAAAGCCAGCCAAAGCCTTTGGAACGAGATGGATCACCCACAAGTTGAAAGCCATGGAGACCTTTGTTGCCAATTATGGCGCATACATGCTACACATTGAGTCATTGTCCCAAACAGATTCGGTGCCAGCAAAAAGAGAAGAACTGAAGGTTTTTGTCAAAATGGACGTATGCAAAGTATCCTATGCTGATGACAGTATACATTGACATTTTGACGCCTTTGAAGGTAATTAGTATAACGCTTCAATGTTCAGATTTGCTGTCTCGTCAACATATATATCTGGTGCAAAATTAAGAGTTGTGACTTTTATTTTAGGTTCTTAGCCTGGGATTCCAAAGGAAGTTCACGACCCTGTTAAAGCGGTGAAGCGCATTAATGAATTTGAGTGGACTATGGTCAAACTAAAAGAATTGATCAATAAATGCGTTCAGGACGACTCCGAAAAACTTATTAATTTTACACGGTTTTTGAAGGAGTGCGAAGCCACAACGTCCGACGACGGTAATTGATGAATGAGTCCCTGACTTTACGTACGCTTGAAATGTTTTTTTACACAGTAGAACCTCACCAACCTTTGACAAAACGTCAAAAAATTACCAAGCATCAAGTGGAAGAACTTGAAGACGATGAAGATGAAGCAGGTACTTTTAAATGTTATAATTAGTGTTTTGTAAATGTAATACTTTATGTCGTAACATTGCCTTTTCTGTTTCTGAAGATGTTTCTTACCAAAAAATAAAGCTGAAAGGGTTTAATGCGTCCCGGAGGAAAGTAACGAAAACTTATGAAAAAATGATTAATGCAGTGTCTAGGAGTGTGCAAGGAAGATTTGAAGAGTTCCGAGAAAGTGTGGTGTTTAAAAATCTGCCAGTCATATTGGACTTTGCAATGTGGCCCAAGGAGGACGAAGCACTTAAGCGGTATGGCGACAAGGCAATTTTAGAACTGAAAGAGTTTTACCAGGCTTTACTTGTTCAGAATGGATGCAACATTGACAAAGTCGTCTCAGAATGGAATCGTTTGAAGGTTTGAATAGTAAATGCATCGTTTTCCTTTCGTATTATACAGTTGGATAACTGAATATTTCTTCTGCTAGTGCCACGTCAAAAGCTACATAGTTGGAGCAGAAAAAAAGGAAAAATATGTAAATGTATGGCAAAGCATCTGGGAAAATGTTATAATGCAAAAAGAGTGCAAAAATGTACTGCATATAATTGAATTGTTGCTCATAACACCATTCACGAATGCCAAGGTGGAGCGTTTATTTAGCCGAATGAACAGAATTAAGACAACTCTGCGAAATCGTTTGAGTACACAACGACTCGACGCTCAGCTAAGAATTGGTGAAGAAGGATGCCCGCTAGCTGAATTCGATGCGGAGGAAGCTCTCCAATATTGGCTATAGCAAAAGATTAGACGCCCAAATGGTGCAAAACCACGAAAGTATCCAGCAGAAAGGCAATCAAAGTCAGCGTCATCTACAAACGTTGTTGATATTGCATTAGCTACGCTTTCCGATTTGGAAGAGAACGAATGCGAGGATTTTAGTTTATAGTTTTTAAAATTAATAAAAAATATTGGCGCAATCATGTGCATTGTAAAATTGCGAGAGGAAAGTAAATCGGGGATCGATCGGAACGGGGGGTGGAACTTATTCGAAAAGTTGCGAAGCAATTTTTTGCGATAATTCTTGTCCTCAACTCAATGCTCAACTCTATCCTCTGTCATTAAAATTAAAACCAAGAACAAGTACACCTCTCCCTCACCTGAATATGATAAAGTGAGATAATTTGTGTCGTTCTTCTTGCATACTAACTAATCATGACACAGTCTTGATTGTCATTCAACTCAATAAATGTTGAAAACACAGTGCAAGAGTGTGTAAATACGACATTTAAATGTAAGAGAGTTCTCCGATCATGATACGGGGATTCCCGGCTGCTAGACTAGGCTACCACGCATGCGCAATATTTCCGCCAAAACTTGAAATGTGATACAAAACATTCAAAACCTACGGTGAACGTTGAATATTTACTTGGCACTTGGTGTGGGATTTTAAAGAGCAATAAACGTCTGAATTCAAGTTTAAAAGCTTGAAACATTTGGGAACTTTCTACATCAAACAAAGTTTTATCGACAATTTCAAGTTGCTTCGTCTCTGGATTGAAGTAGGTTGCAATGATGAAACGTATTTAATTTGAACGATGGAACTTTACTTTTTAATTATATTAGTTCAATGTTGTTATCTTCATTAAATTTTTTTTACATGATGTACTTTAACTGTATTTGAGTGATTTCACTACATATCAGATTATGAAATATAATTGAAACCTTTAGATATTCTCCATCATTTATAAGGAATCAAATATGTAGAAACATGATACATTAGAAGTTTTTAAAGGTTTTTATGACATCATCTATGCACAGCTTATTTACTGTGAATGCTCGTTTTAACGCTGCGGCTCTTATTAGTTCCCTTATGTTCGCCGTCCATAAGCGGCGGCAAAACAAACACTGTACTAAAAAAATATATAAAAGCTCATATTGTGTGACAATTTATGGGGCAAGATTGATAATTGAAGGAGAAGGTATTTATATATTGGTATGTTTCTTTGTTTAATCCATACCCACAATTGATTTCAATAGAAGCTACTAAGGTAGGACATGCATATATGAATATTTGCCCCCCCCAAAAAAATTATCGAGCTTGCGCCACCTGTGTTACCTTGAAATAAATCTCTTTTCACACATAGAGGACAATTGTATGGTGGAGGCTGCCCTAATCTTGATTTCATTTTTGATAGTATCTGACAAACCACGTTTACACGATAGAACAGCTTCAACGGTAATGGTGTTTCAGTTTCGTCTGAAGCGTATGAAATGATCGACATGTTTTTCTGTCTGCTGTTGTATAAATCAACAAAGTTACAAGTTCATTACGATTTTGAACAAAAACTGTTTTTGAGATAAACATTACATCTCCAACAATTTGCTTTAAAAAGATTTCGTGCAAGCGTAGGACACGTCGTTCCCTGGGAATTTCTTTTGTAATTTTCAATTTTGACTGTAAGAAGTATAGTTTTTTAAAAATGAAATTGCTTTCTTATAGTTTTTAAAACAACATTAAAAACTGAAGTCATGAAGAAATTTGCAAATAAACAGGTATGTTTTAGAAAATGGATAAAAGGAAAGGATGAGCGCTAAGTAAACATTTTCACATTTTTTGGATGAATTTCAATCAAACGTTTTTACAGGTTTCTTCTAAAACAATCGGTAATTCGTCAACGTCAAAACCCAAGGTCAACGATGTAAATGACAAAAAAACTAAATCCATCATTAAAAGAAAATCCATCAAATATAACTGTAAAGCTCTGAAAAAGACTTCTTTAAGACGATCATTAAGAAAGCCATCCAAAAAGATTTATACAGTGGAAGATGTGCCTGATGATGATCTTAACATTTGTAAGTACTTTACTTTAGTGTAGAGTCATGAATATTTTAAACATCAGTTCATTACTGTGATTTGATATTTGCTTTAAAATTGTGACCAATGCAGTTGTTTTAACGATGGAGAACTTTTTCAAACAAATTTCATTGCTTTGAAGTACATCAATGGAATTATGTATGATCATTCAGTTCTTTATCCTGTGATGTAATTCTAACTTTTCTTTTAGTTGGAGGTCACAGCTGTAGACACTGTGGAAGGATGTATACTTATCCCGATTATTTAGAGAAACATTTAAAACGATGTCCAATGCTTGTTTGTACGAATCCCTGGGAATGTCCACGTTGTGGTCGAAAGTACAGTAGTGAAGACTATCTAAATGTTCATGAAAAATGAATGCGGAAAAATCCACCATTAAAACGACATGTGAGGGTTCAAACAGGAGGAACCTTATCATTGCAAACATTGTGGTAAAACATTTAGACAGCTTTCTAAATTGAATAAACATGTTAGGATACATACTGGAGACAAACCTTACCAATGTGAAAATTGTGGTAAAAGATTTACACAGCTTGGTACCTTAAAACGTCATGGTATGATACATACAGGAGAGAAACCTTATAAATGTGAACATTGTGGTAAAAGATTTACACAGCTTGGTAACTTAAAAAGTCACGTAATGATACATACTGGAGAGAAACCTTATCAATGTGAACATTGTGGTAAAACATTTTCACAGAATTCTGATTTGAATAAACACCTTAGGATACATACAGGAGAGAAACCTTATAAATGTAAACATTGTGGTAAAACATTTACCCACAATAGTGCATTCAATAAACACCTTAGGATACATACAGGAGAGAAACCTGCTCAATGTGAACATTGTGGTAAAACATTTACCCACAATAGTGCCTTGAATAGACACGTTAGGATACATACAGGAGAGAAACCTTATGAATGTGAAGATTGTGGTAAAACATTTTCACAGAATTGTGATTTGAATAAACACCTTAGGATACATACAGGAGAGAAACCTTATCAATGTCAACACTGTGGTAAAACATTTACACAGCTTTGTAACTTAAAAAGTCACGTAATGATACATACTGGAGAGAAACCTTATCAATGTGAACATTGTGGTAAAAGATTTAATAAGTCTAATAATTTTAAAACACACATGAGGATACACAAGAAAACCTTATCAATGTGAACATTTTGGTAAAACGTTTAATAAGAAGAGTAACTTGAAACAACACGGTACGCGAACGGTGATTGCTAGATAGTATACTTCAAAATAAGATTTCCGCTGGGAGACTGGTGCGAGTTTTGCAATATCTTCGGAAAAAAGAAACGAGAGCATCACGAGTATACCGTGTTCTTTTGAAGGATGTCCTTTTGTTATAATGCAATGCGCCATTTTAAAATTTTGCGGGAAAACAATTAATGAACACCACGCATATAGGCTATAGTTCGTCATTATAAACTTATGAAAATTTACTATCTTTGTAATGTAAATTTTTCAACGAATTAATGTCAATGAATAAAATTTGGGACTGCTGTGACGGCCACAGGGCTGCCGTGCAAAGCCTGTCTGATGTAATGCCGCTTATCGTGAAATACGAAGTTGAGACAAACAGCAAGTTCATTGTCTACTACGGTGATAAGAGCTTTGGATCAAAAGGTAATTAGCTCAACAGTTTAATACATCGTCAATTTAATAAAAATTAATTTGAGTGGCAGTTGAAAAAGCTGAAATGTACAAAATTAATTGCATAAAAAAGTAGTAAATAGCATACTAATAAATTAAGTGCACTTTACTACTATAAATAAAGAGACACAACGCTCTGGTAATCGTTTCTTCTTGCGCTTAATTTAATCGTAATATTACGCTTTTTAAAAACAGCACAACCAAAAATTTACATTGATATAAGACGTCCCCGGTTGTAAAATTTTAATCATTAACATATTCAGATGTTAGAAAAGACAACGTAAAAGTTTACTGGGAAAGGAAGAATGAAGCGTTACAAGGGCCTATTATCCCATTTGACGGAATACCTTTGTGCATGTCGGAGATAAAATTTTATGGTGCCACCAAGGAAAAGACAAAATGAAAATCTAAGCTAAAGAAGAAAGAGAAAATCAGCAGCGACAGGTAGTCAATGACTAGATTACTGTAATAAGAATGATAGTTTGCGTCCTCTAAAATGTTGCTAAGACATCTCGTTGCCTTTTTTCACCTTGTGTATTCCTGCACAATGTATAATCTGCGCTAATAAAAATGCAGCCAACTATACAATATTTTACGTCTTCCTTGTATTTATAAAGAATGTTAAATTTATACATTTTTAGGTTACAGACCACTGCTACAATTCTACGCGAAGATTGTTTGCTCAAACGACAAAGAAGAAACAATGCCCAGCTTTAATCTATATAACGCAAATTGCAAAATTCCCTAGAATGAAGGTTTGTTAAACACTATAAAATGAAGACAAAATAATATATAATTATAAAAACTTGTGCGTAAAAGGACATTACAATGTTTTACTCTTTAGTTGGACAAGGACAGTATCTTCTTCAGAAGAAGAACAGCAAAGCAATTACATGAGACAATGAAAACTGGCACAATTAAGAGCAGCGACATCGAGATGCACTATGTCGTGAAGTTTCCTCGCCCTTCAGAACACAAAAATCACATAACTGGAATGGTAAAATTTGTTTAAAAGAGATTAGCTATAGCTAAAAATTTTGTAAAGTTTTACACCTTGCAGGCAGCTGGTATAAGAGAACCATTGGATCCAGTGATAGTGGAGAAGCTAGCAGAGCTGGCCCGCGACGGTGTTCACTCAGTATGCGAAGCACGTAGATATCTTGAGTTATTTGTAAATGGTGAACTATTCAAGGGGTGTAAACTTCCAGATAAACTTAGCAGGCGATTTTATCCTACGAACAAGGATATCTATAACCATCTTTACAAAGGAAAGCCGAACCATTTTTCTTCCAATGATCAAAAGAACTTGGAAGAGCTTATTAAAAAATGGAAGTTTGAAAATCCACAAGATTTCTTTCTGTTTCGTCCTCACTCCGGCAAACCATGTGCAGAGGAGTCAACAGAGAACAATGATAACACCATCTCAAACGAAGATACAGAGGAATCGTTAGAGATGGACACAAGCACTTTAATTTTCTGTCATCAAACGAAATATCAGAAACACCTCCTAGGAAAGTATGGCAATCAAATGTGCTTACTCGATGCCACCTATAGAACAACGAAGTATGATCTCCCACTTTATTTCTTGTGTGTGAGAACAAATGTATGTTACCAAGTTGTTGGATCATTTATCATACAGTTCGAAAACATCAAATGTATACAGGAAGCGTTGATGGTGTTTAAGGAGTGGAATGCTGATATATGGAAGCCTTCTCGTTTTATGGTAGATTTCGCCGAAGAAGAAATTCAAGCACTCGAAACAACCTTTCCAGGTATGCAAACGTACAACAGATTTGCATCGTGGTTTTTTTAAAGCTCCACGATAACGCTTTAAACATTTACGGAATTCCCCCCGATAAACTTTATACGTGTATGAATATATTGTCGCATTTTTTGCCATAATTCTAATCGCATGCAGACCAAAAAGTTAAAAATCGAACATTGAAAAATGCTAAAATAAACATAGTTGGTGTCGTTAGAGAAAAGTAGTTATTTCATTACATATAAAACATTTTCATGTAAAATAGATGCGGAAGTACTTCTTTGTGATTTTCATCGAGAGAAATCGTGGCAGGAGTGGACGTCAAAAAATAGATAATGGTGTTTTTCAGAATAAACAGGAAATTCTAAATCTACTACGCAATATTGCACATGCTGCTACGTCTGAACAATGTCAAAAGTCAATGAACGCCCTGACAGAAAGCATATTTTGGAAAGAAAATCTCAAAATGAGAAACTGGTTTGGTGGAAAGTGGCTGCCAAACATTAAGGTAGTAAACTAAATATAGCGATGGAATCAACGTTGATAGAAAAGCGATGTACTATTCATGAAATAGTCTAAATTAATTTTTGCTATTTTCGAAGGAGACCCTTTTTTATAAAATTATAAAATTTTACTAGGCAATTTTGTAAAACCAAATCTCCAGGGCTTATATCGTTGTATTATTTCATAATCTCAAATAAAATACTATGTACTAGCAGAACATGCAAAATATACTGTATTGATCGTTTTCTTACAGAGATGGTGTCAAGCGTATCGGACAGGAGATTTCATTTGTGCAGTGAACACGAACAATGGCATTGAAAGACAGAATAAGGCATTCAAATATGAGTACCTCCATGGGAATAAAGGGTGCTCCTTAAGTGATATGCTGACAGCACTTGTTGATCGGTTTCTCCCAAATACCTTCAAAAAGTAAAATTTTTAATACTTCACAATACTATAATGATTCTATGTTTTATAACGAAAAATACCAGTTTTGAAGGAAAAATTCATTTCGTAGGGTTTTGTTGTGTGACACAGGCCCCTTCTTTGAAAAACAACTGCTTAATTAACAAATTATTGAAAGGTGTGATTAGGCTAACTACAGCGGCACTTACTGTAGACTTTAGTCATCTTTGGATTCTAATAAGATGTAATAATATTCGTGAGTGACGTTTTCCTTTACAATTTTAGATATGCTGAGCTAAATGTTAAATGTCACGAAGGTTACCGTGCTTATAATGAGGAACTTCCAAAATTTCTGCACAACAGACCTGCCAGAATGGTGTCTCATATTATGAAGCGTTGGGATAGTGACATTAGCAAAGACATGGTCCACATGGTGTCCCCAGGGGGTCTTTGAAGTAAAAAGTTCAACAGGGAAGGAGCACCATATCGTACTTTTTGGTGATGAACAAACGCTTCCAAACTGCACCTGCGTAGACTGGAGACACAACAAACTTTTGTGCAAACACTTCTGTGCTTGCATAAGAGCTTTTCCAGAGTGGAAATGGGATAGACTCAGCCCACTTTATCGAGAAAATCCACTTTTTCATCTAGATAACACCATAGTTCCAGCAGATAACTCGCTCGAAAATATTCCTAGTAAAAAAAGAGCAGCAGAATTCACCTCAACACATTAAGAATGAATCGCTTGTGCCAAATGATGCTGATGATTTTGCTCCTCTTCCACCGAAAAAGACATATGGTAAAAATGCTCTACGTCTCAAATGTAGAAATCTAATGAAAGAACTATCCAGCTTGACATTTCTTATAGATGACAAACAACAACTATTGTCTCTTACCAATGGTCTTAATACATTGCTAGAAGAAGCACGAAACTCTGCACCACAGGAAGCAGGAATAATTCTTCAAGATTCACTACCAAAACAAGAATCTAAAAAAAATGACAAAATCAAAAATAGTCAAAAGAAGCAAACAAGAGTTAAGTCAATTAATATTAGATCCTATGGGCGTCCTAAGCACCCATACACTGGTCGAGTTGGAAGACGCAGAAATAATGAAAAAATTATAAAGTACATATACCAATACCTTCTGGTAAGGCTGTGAAGAGGTGTTCAACGGGACCTAATGTAATTGACCTCAGCTCGCCTAATAAACGGCTTTATGAAAATCTTTCAAGACCACAGCCTTGGCTACATGTTTCAAATATAAATTTATCTCTGGTTGATAAAAACATACTTAGTTCAGGAGATCTAATGAACGACAAACACATCAATGCAGCACAAATTCTTCTTAAAAACCAATTCCCAGAAGCATGTGGCCTAATGGATACACTGATAGTATCAAACCAACTTAGTGGGGAAGGTTTACCAAATATAAACAGTTCAATGACTAACATAATCCAGCTTCATAATCTTCCAGGTCATTGGCTAGTATCTCAGTCAAATGGACAATCAGTGATAGTCTACGACTCTCTGTATCCTGGGATGACACATCCACTCACCATGCAATTGGTATACTTATACAAGAGTATAGCAAAGGAGGTCTACTGCTAGTAAAACTCAGGTGCTGTCAAAAGCAAGCAGGATTTGTAGATTGTGGTCTTTTTGCCATAGCTAATGCAGTTTCTCTTGCTAATGGAATTTATCCTGGAGCAGTCATTTTCCAACAGAGCCAGATGCGTCAACATCTAAAACAGTGTCTGAAAGAAAACAGCTCACAATGTTCCCACATGAAGTAAACAAAGAGCCTTGTCATATTCTGGAAAGGTCAACAATGATAAAATGCTGAAGGACTGTTCATGATGTACATTTTATAAAATCAGTAGTGGATCTAGGGTAAGGAAAAATAAGTTATGGGCAATATTTTCAATTCAAGTACCTTTATAACAATGGCTTTGTTTAGGAATTTTTCAAGGTTAAATGAAACCAATTGATGGACTGTTTCAATGTATTTTCCTAGATCCACCACTATATATATAAAAATAATCATGCATGAGACATAATGAAAGGCCATAGAAAAGCACATTTGGATTATGGGACATTGCACAATTATGGTTAAAATTATGGATAAGTATATTGCTATACACAGGTTATGTTTCTCTCTTCACATGTTGCAGTGATGATAATCAGGGTGGGAAACAGACAAAGTGTTGCATCAGCCATCAGAGAAAAATATAGTGTCTGGTCTTAATTAATAACCTGATAGGTACTGTTCTCAAATGCCATATCATGCTAATCATAAACTGATTTAATGTAAATAAATTTGTAGTAGACTAATATTGCTACCTAATAAGGCTGTTGATGTGTCAACCGGCTCAACCCGTGTAAAATTTCGTTTGTTAAAGATTTACCTGAATTCGACATATATCTTTGTATATCTCGCAGTCTCATATGTTTGTATCTCATAGTCGTATATATATGTACATATATATTAATGAGTGAATATTCCTGGATGTATTTTATTGTATATCTTGATAATTTGCTTCAATTATATGAGTAAAATAGTATAATTATTCAATACATTTATATATTTTTTGCGATTCTTACCATGAGGAGAATGAATTTCTAGCATACTGATTCAATCAAGGGGGGTTGGGCAGGTGTTAGGGGTAGTACCTCTGTACCCTGGGCAGCCGCATGCATTTGTGCATGGCTCAGAGCATTGGCCCTCACCACCTGTCTAGCTCACATATGGCTCCAAGTAGTTGCTTGTGCACGGCAACGGCCATCCCCCGGTAACGTCCTCGGCTGGACGGCGAAACTATGTGAGCGGGCTGCACTCTGGATTCTCCAGGTGTAGGCGGGTGTCATCTCACCCAAGTGCATGAAGACCTTCCGGCAATGAAGGCCGATGACTCTACCATGTTAGCGAGTACCACCTGTGTCATGGTCGAAAAGTCGGCGACTAATCTGGCTCACCATTGCCTATGGCGATGGAAGGTGGTCAGACACCCTGACAATACAAAACAACAACTGTCTAAAAGCCACAGGCACTATGGAGTCTTGTGACCATCTGACACCTGCTTCCAGCAAACCCCCACTGCCTTGTGGGAAAGGTCTTTGCTAAGACTAAAGGCTAAAGGAAGGTGAACCTCAAACAACTCACTACGGAGATGGGACCCCGTAAAGGCAACCATGTTCAGTCAACGACAACTGGATTGGCAGTCCCTGCAGTGGAGTATTGTTGCCAGCACGTCCTGACTTGTTCTTGCCCGCTGGAGAACAGCAGTGCCCCACCGAGAGAGTGTCCTGGTAATGCAAAAGCCAGTGCCACTTAACATTTTGCATGCAGTTCTATGGAAATGAATAAGGAAGCTAGACATGATACCGGCTCGAACGTCGCCCGGGTTACCAAGGTTCGCGCTGGTCCGCTCCCGCTCCGGCGACCAGTGAGAAGTAAGCTAGGACGCAAGGTGGACCGCAAGGAGGACATCAAGAAACATCTGAGACTCGCAGGATGGAACGTGAGGACGCTGCTTGATCGACCTGGATCTAAACGACCGGAAAGGCAAACAGCGCTAGCAGCAAGGGAGTTGTCAAGGTACAGCATCGACGTGGCAGCACTGAGTGAAACCCGGCTGGCTCTAAGTGGCAGCTTGGTTGACCAAGGATACACCTTTTTCTGGAGTGGAAGAGAGGAGAGGGAGAAAAGAGAGGCTGGAGTTGGTTTTGCTATAAGAAACCAAATTGCCCAGAAGTTGGAACAAGAACCGGTAGCTGTAAGCGACAGAATAATCACTCTACGCCTTCCTCTGCAGGGGACGGTGTGGGCTACTTTTGTTAGTGTCTACGCCCCGACCATGACTAACCCTGATGAGATAAAGGAAGATTTCTATCAGAAGTTGAGGGAAACTATCAGAGAAGTGCCCAGCACCGATAAGCTCATTATAGCCGGAGACTTAAATGCCAGAGTTGGAGATGAAGTGGAAAACTGGCCTGGAGTATTGGGACATTATGGCGTGGGCAAGTGCAACACCAATGGAGAACTCCTCCTAGCCTTGTGCTCTGAATATGGTCTGGTGATAACCAACACTGTTTTCAAGCATAAGCACACCCACAAGACGACATGGATGCACCTGAGGTCTAAGCACTGGCACCTCATCGACTACGTGATCACTAGGCAGAGAGACCAGAGGGACATAGTCAACACCAGAGCATTTAGAGGGCTGATTGCAACACAGATCATAACATGGTGCTGTCCAAAATCGCCTTCTCACTAAGGAAACAAGTCAAGAAAACTGGAGGACAGCACAGGTACAATCTCAACGTGGCCAGACTGAAGTGTGACAATGTGCGCAAAGACTTTCAGAGAAGTATGACAACATCACTACAGGAGAGCACAACAGGAGACTCGGATGTTGTAGGGAAGTGGGAGACGTTAAGGGATACAGTATTTAATACAGCAAAAGAAATCCTAGGCAAACCGAAACGCAAGCACCAGGACTGGTTTGACGAAACAGACGAGGAGCTAAACAGACTATTAGAGGAGAGGAACCAGGCAAAAGCAAGACAGCTGACTGTAAACACCAGGTCTACCAGGGCAAACCTTGCATCAGCACGCAGCAAACTACAGAAGTACACCCGACAGAAGAAGTCTCAGTGGTGGGAGACCAGCAGAGGAACTGCAGCACGCCGCAGCAGAAAACGACATGAAGTCCTTCTATGGAGGTCTTAGAGAAGTATATGGCCCACAAAGAGAGGTACTGCCCAACTGCTCGCTCTTGATGGAGAGACTGTGTTGACAGACAACAAGAAGATACTGGAAAGATTTGCTCAGCACTTCGACCAGTTGTTAAATCTGCCTGGAAACGTGGATAGTGCTTCTCTTGCGAGCATCACCCAACGTCCAACAGTCCACGTACTGGATGAGCCCCCAAAGATGGACGAACTTCTGAAGGCGATCGCAGCAACTAAGGAAAGCAAAGCTCCTGGATGTTGTGGGATACCTGCAGAAGTATGGAAGTATGGTGGTACAACACTCAAAGAGAGGCTGCTAGATGTGATCGGAGATATCTGGATAGGAGAGAAGATTCCACAAGATTGAAGGACGCGAATATAGTCCCTATATTCAAGAAAGGCAGTCGTAAAGAGTGCGGCAACTATCGCGGCATTTCTCTACTCAATCGCTGGGAAGGTGATGGCTCGAATACTCCTCAATCGTCTGAACGAAATGATAAGTCCCAGAGTAATTCCTGAGACCCAGAGTGGATTTCGGAGTGGGCGGAGTACCATGGATATGATATTCAGCCTACGACAGGTTCAGGAGAAATGCACTGAACAGAACATGCCCTCTATGCAGTTTTCATAGACTTTACTAAGGCCTTTGACACTGTCCCTAGAGGCGGCTTGTGGGCAGTACTGAAAAGTTTGGCTGTACGGATAAGATTATCAATCTCGTGAAAGCGTTTCACGAAGGAATGCAAGCTAAAGTCACTCGTGGGAGCGACTGCTCTGAGGGATTCGCTGTCTCAACAGGTGTAAAGCAAGGGTGTGTGCTGGCTCCGACACTGTTCTCATTCTACCTGGCTGCCATGCTGGAGGTTGCCTTCGAGGACACAAGGGAAGGTATCTACATCCAGACTAGACATGATGGGAACCTATTCAACGCCTCACACTTCAAAGCTAAGACACGCACAACACGTCAGCTTGTCAGAGATATGCTTTTGCAGACGACTGTGCTCTGGTTGCACAGTGCAGCAGAGATGCAGGCATTGGTGGACAATTTGCACAAGCTGCCGCTATGTTTAGCCTCAAGATAAACATCAAAAAGACTGAGTGCCTCTACCAGCCAGTAAAGCTTCTACTCCCTCCCCCAAAACCCTGTGCAATCACCATAGACGGACAGCCTCTTGTCCAGACCACAGACTTCAACTACCTGGGTAGTACAATCTCCAGCAATGCTAAGATTGAAAAGGAGCTGAGGAACAGAATGGGAAGGGCGAGTGCAGCGTTCAGTCAACTAAACGATCGGCTATGGCAAAATAAGCATGTCTCGACCAGAGTTAAAGCCAAGGTCTATCAGGCGGTGGTGCTGACAACACTTTATGGAGCAGAGGCATGGACAATCTACAGGCTTCAAGTGAAGAAACTGAGTGCGTATATGATGAGACAACTGCGGGACATTCTGAAGATATCATGGCGGGACAAGATCGCAAATGCTAAGATTCTCCGTCTGACTGACCTGCCACACATGGCTGACATGCTGATTCAAAAGAATTTAAGATGGATTGGTCATGTCCATCGTATGGAGAGATCTCGTTTACCACGCCAGCTATTGTACAGTCAACTAGTAGAAGGAAACGAAACCAAGGCCGACCTCGACTCAGACTCAAAGATGTCATGAAACGAAATCTAAAGAGGAGAGACATCAACGTGACAACCTGGAAGCAACTGGCTGATAACAGACCGGCCTGGAGAGCTTCAATCCAACCATAGAACAGTCCTCGTCGCTTACGACTGACTGCATGATGATGATGATGATGATTCAATCAAATACCAACAACTTCATCACAATAAAACTCCTACACTAAACTATTCTCATTGATAATAGGTTTACACAGGGTTTATCGCTCTATCTTTGTTCGTTATTCGTGATGCTCTCGTTTCTTTTTCCGAAGATATTGCAAAACTCGCACCAGTCTCCCAGCGGAAATCTTATTTTGAAGTATACTATCTAGCAATCACCTTTACACCATATGACCAACCTTACATCATATGACCAACCTTACACCATGTGACCAACCTTACAAATTAAATTTGAGAAAAAAAATTGTATGTTTTTGCTGTCGCTGTCTTCATGTCTTTATACAAATATTGGCTGTGAACACTCAACCTGTGCTCGAGTTTTGTGAAATCCTACCCCTTAACATTTTTTGCAGTCCTTTAAATAATATTTTTTCTTGAACAGGAACTAAAGTTACATGCCTTTGCCAAGAAGGTATGCTGTATTATGTTCATCTGCTTCTGTCTTCTTCAAACATATCGTCTTTGATAGCCATATTTTATTGATCTTTAGGGGTTTGCAAAAGAGCATGCAAATGGAATCCTACAGCTGGTGTTGCATTTGAGTATGATCCTGACAATGCTCTCAGACGCACAACTTATCCCAAAGTCGAGGAATGGTACATAATATTATTGTATTTTTGTAGGTTTTGTACAATATTGTTTTCATTTGCACTTTCTTCATTTCCATGTAATCAAATAAATGTTTGTGCGGTATGGGATCTTGTAATGTTACTTTTACTATCACTGATTATAAAGTAAATGGTTTGAACCTGGGAGTATCGTTACGTTTGTAAATGTAGATCGTCCAGGTTGGTATAGTCCTGAGAATGACTGCTTTTGTCATTTGACTCTCAAGATGACTACCGCTAAGGTTGTCGAAACGTCAGTCAACAACAACAAAAACAGTCCTTCTCAGGACTATACCAACCTGGACGATCTACATTTACAAACATATCACTGATTATGTCAATCTTAGTTCTGAAATGATGGAAACCATTAAATTTGCAGGCCGAAAAGTGAATATTCGCTGTTGGAAGAGGATGAATGTATGTAAAAGGAACAATTACAATATTTCAAAACCATACAGCATTGAAAATTTACGAATGCATGTTTCAGAAGTTAATAAAATGATTTAATTTCCAGGCCAAGCCGTTTGATCCAACAGGAAGGCCGGACAAATTCTTCTTTAACGTTGAGGTAAATTTTCAATAATCAATTGATTCTTTAAGCCAGTCATCCAGTTTATAGTGAAGCATGAGTTTTGAGGCTTGTAAATGAATCAGTTTGTTTGTCAGGTATTTTATGTATAAAGCAAGTACATAGTGAAATTTTGGTCAAGTGGCTTTGTCATGTTACTCCATAGATAGCTATCATTGCCGGACATCAAAGTCACTTTGTCCAAGATGTTTGTATTTGTATTCAGAGTTGTGGTTCCTTACGTCCTGAAAACATTGTTTTGTCTGGTTTGTCCATCTTAAAGAAGAAACTAAGTGATCTTCAGACTCAACACAGCGAGAAATAGCTGCAGATGCCCTCACTATTACACATTAAATCCTTGAGAAGGCCTTCTGTGTACTGGCAATACCTTAAAGATCTTAATCAAATCCACTGCATCACACGATCTTACTATCAAAAGATTTAAAATCACATCCACTGCATCACACTTCTTTAACTGTTCACTACTAAAAGCAGGATATACAACTTTTGCCTGGCAAAAAATAAAGGGTTGGCAATCTTTCCTTCAAAGTAACATGTCTTCACTTTCTTAAAACCCAGATGAATGTTGATGAAGTTTCACAGAATTTTGACAATAACTCGAGCATCATAATAATTTATAACAACTTTAATGTTAAATAAGAAGTGTTTAAGTGGGATGGAATTCCTTGATTGTTGCGTGCAATGTTTGTAGACATTTCTTGTGGAAGAATCTGAAGAAAAATTATTTCATGTTTCTCAATTTTTCTTCAAGTTAAATTCACATGAAGTGCTTTGCCAGGCGAACTTCATCTTCAACCTAACAAATATGTTTAAATTGGATTTAAATGAGGGAAAGAAATGCACAGGTCAAAACCAAATTTATCTTGAAGGCCAATGAATAATTACATATTAAATGAAGATATGATCTTCGCACTTTGCTGGACAATTTAGCTTAATCGTCTCAGGACCTGAAAAAATCAGGTGACTCAGCAGGGATTGAACCCATGACCTCTGGTTTGGTGCAGTGCTCTGACCTACTGAGCTATGAAGTCACACAGTGTGAGCAGGTCAATATTGTTGGGCTCATGTTGTCTCGTTGAAATGAATGTCATATGAATGTTTATGCATGCGGTGTTTTGAAATTAAATGAAGATAATCTTCACTTTTTGCTGGAAATTTAGCTTGTCGTCTCAGGACCTGAAAATTTGCACAAAGGTTGTTTCATCTCAGGACCGAAGAATTTTTTCCGGGTCTGAAACGATAACAAAAATAAATATATCTTCGATTCCATAAATATTCATATATTCATTCACGGGTACGCTTATCAACTGTGAACCTGCATTGACTTCATGTCAATGATGACTTCACCGGCTAATGATTATTTTCGGTCCTGAGACGATTGCTTAAATTGTCCAGCAAAGTGCGAAGATCATATCTTCATTAATTTCAAAACACCGCACTGCATAAAACATTCAAATAATTACATACTTGCTAATGATCTCTTCATAAAACTGTCTCACTTCTTCTTTAGTTTGTTCATATATATCGTAATGCTTGTACTATTGAAAGCAAGATGGTCAATTAATGAAAGTTCACCAAGTTTTATGTTTAAGCAGAGGTCGTTTTGCATGTTACAGATGGGTGAATGATGATTTCTAAAACTACTTTTGTGCATAGTTTCTTGTAAGCATTTTGAGGATGTGCACCTGTATGAGACTTGCTTGCCTACGAAAATAGCAATTGCCTTCTTCATCTTCATGAACTGGGTGTATGTCCAGATGGTACGCATTGTCCCAAATCTCAACAAGTTTACTTGGGTAGGGATGAACTGTAACCTCAATGACATATAGAGGTTGCTCAATGCCCTAAAATTGTAAAATGTTGTATTTAGAAAAACATGTGCCTGGCATTCTCTTGTTATTTATGCAATGACACAATTCCACTCTATTCCACTATACATAACCTGCAATAAAGTCATAATAATAATGGCATTTGTTTGTAGATGTAGATCGTCCAGGTTAGTATAGTCCTGAGAGGATTGTTTTTGTTGTTGTTGACTGACATTTCGACAACCTTAGCGGTAGTCATCTTCAGAGTCAAATGAGGAGTTCAAACCATTTACTTTAATAATGGATTGTCATTATGGCATATCTCTAATGATGTGCTTGCATTATACACAAGTTCAAACATTTCTGGATAACTTGGACTTTGTATGCTGTTCATAAAAGGTTCACTTAAGTTTCCTAACAACCTACCAGAGAATATTGTGCCATAGCATCCTTATCACACCAGCAGTATTCAGGTGTTCAGTAGCAAATGAGGCCTCAATCTAGAATGGTCTGTTCTGAAATTTGGAATATGATTGACATCTGAATTATCGTAAGTTCTTTCCCACTAATTATCAAGGGTTCTATATGTACTTGTTGCTGGAGGAATCTTGTTTTAGTTGAATGTCTGCTTTTCTTTTATCTATTACAGGCACAAACTCCACCTGCAATAATTTTGTGTAAATATCATTTGACCTTACATTACAAGCAACAAGGACACAAAGAGGCAAAAAGAAAAATTGCATTCATCCCTGTATAGTTGTCCAGTCAAAAACTCACATTATATCTTCCTGAGTCAACCTTTGGTTCATATCTGCTCATAAGATCATTCATTGAAACCAAAATGTGATCTTTCTAGATAGAATTTACATGTGTTCACATTTACGTTGATGAGATGTTGGTGTAATCACTGAAGAGTTGTGTACCTGATATTGAGAAAGTCTTATCCCCTTCACTACACCATCATCAACTATACCCAGGTACACAGTACCACCATTTCCAGTATTCAGAAATGCATTTATGGCCCTATACGAAATCACGACTATTGTTTAATCAAATCCTCAAACAAACAATGTCAGGGCTGCCTGAAATTGAGAATTTTTATTGAATAATCGGTAATTTATAGTGAAATGGAATTGAACCTAGAAACAGCTCTCCTAGATCGCTTGTCTGTGCCAGTAACATAACACCAAGGCGGTAATTCTTCTACAGCTAAATTCCTGTGTCCTTTGAATTCGTGTCTCGAGTCTTCTTCATATGGAACGGTACTATTCAGTATGTAAAAGCCTGACATTTTTGTAGCCTTTATTGTCATCCAGATATTAAACTGCATCATTTTGATTCCACCCAAACATTGCAACAGTTATTGCAGCTTTTCTCCTATTTTTTCGGAAACAAGGAAACGTTTCTTCGAAGTTTTCTAATTTACTCACGCTCTCAGATTGATATTTTTGCTTTATTTTTCATAACAAAGGAAATACGCTTATAAGCTACGTATGAACATCGTTATAATTTTCATCTCCAAAAACAAAACTCACGTGATTAGTCTTTTCACAAAATAACATAAAGTTTCTAACAATTTAATGGCAAATTGACTGTAGTCTTGAAGTGGTATCATCTATCATCTACTGTAGATCAAAAATATGCTCAGCATTTGTGATGAGGCAGAATTAGGATATGTTGGACACAAGGTACGTAATAAAGACTTTGTTTAGTTTCTCATCGTAATATGTGAAACGTTCAACTGTGTTTTGTACTTTCACAGAATGCTCTTCCTTTTCACTCCTCGTCTTTACTAAAACGTTTCAATTTTTACGTTGCAACGCGAGAAGTGAATACTGTTCGATTAGTAATGAAAACGGTTTCTCGAGTTTAATGAATGTGAAGAAGAAGTTTGATGAATATCGCTACTTTGTTTCATTTCTTTGGATTAATCAAAATTACTTTCCGCATATGAAGCTCGTGCATTGGTGAGAGAAAAAGTTATAAGTTTTTCAATGTTAAGGTATGTTTTTAGTTGCTAATGTGCTTTTCTTCTTTTAGTCAAACTGAATTGAAATCGATCTTTATTGCATTTGTTCGGCTACTTCAATGTTTCAATGATCAAAGAATGCACAAAATTGCTTAACATTTCATGCGCTGGAACATTATCGAACGAAGATAAACAAATAATAGTGGAATGCGTATCGAAGATCAAAGAAAAATTTTCTCAACTGGAAATGAAACTCGTAGGTCGAGGTAATCTTGAAAAATGTTTATCACTTCTTGGTATTGGCTTAATTCAAATGGCAGATTTTAAAAATTTCAATAAAGGTAAGTGAATTTAGTGTGAATTTTCCTTTTATTTAGCTAATTAGTTTTATAGCTTATCGCTATTCACTCGTTCTTTCAAATGAACAAATTATGGGAGCATTAAGATATTTTTATCTTCGTGATTTTTTCAGATTCGAACCGTACGTACATGAGACAATTTTCTGTGCGTCTTTGCTGGATTGAGCTGGGAATGCTTCAATCAACGTTGCTTCGTCCCGTTGGCGTATTGGATCATGATGAAGGGGTACAAAAATCTCGCAAAATCAAGAGAGTTGAGTTGCTCTATTTTTGCGCAAAATCAGGAGAGTTGAGTTGCTCTATGTTGTATTATACTACAAGAATGTTACAAAGACTAGATTGTTTCATTTATTTTGTCATCTTGATACACAAGGATCAATATGTTTTTACATACTTCGTTATATCCTTCTCAGATTCTTAAAGGAACAGACATTGTCTTGTCGACTGTACAAAATGCTGTAAAATGGGCCAAATACGGAAAGGGCTTTAAAGATTTCAAGGTAATAATTATGTCGTCACATTTTTGTCAAACGCCGAAGCATTCATAATTTGAATCTCAACTCATATCGAAACAATATTATTTTACAGATTTGCTTTCCTAACGAAATGCTTTCACTTGTTCTTCCATTCTCGTTTTCGCATCGTTCAACTTCATCGACGGTCTCTGCCTTGTTGAGCGAAAAAGTATCCCTGGCATAGAAGGTTTAAAAGCTCAGATTTTCATTATTTTAATTATCTGTACTAATTGCCTTGCTTACTTTCAAATGTGTTAATCTTTGTTTAGCTCTGTTCAAAAATTATTCGTCTCCTTTTGTCAATAACGAAGAATATTGTGAAATGTTTAAGTGCAGGTAATTTTCTTTTGAATCTGAACTTTGTTTACTTATAAAAAGAACTTACCTTCATCTTTTATGTAATACTTATTCGAATATTGATGTCGTGTGATTACATTATCTGTTTTTGTAGAATTTGGTTGCTCGTCCTGCGTATGTTGAGACGAAAAGTCTATTTACAAGGTTACACGACAACGGATGACATTCAATTTCTGAACATCATTGTGAAATATTACCAAACTTTTCGGTTGAAACGCGAGGAAGAAAGAAGACTTGAAGAAGTCGAAAATGAAAGCTTATGCAAGTTTAAAATGCAAACGCGTTGTGAGGACGAGTTGTCCGAAGTTAAGCTAAATCAGAAAGATATCGAAGAAATATTTACAAGATTTGATGATGATTTCAAAGAACTTGAGTCAGCGGAAAAACAAGAACTTTCACATGGCAGCGCGATGAATACAATCGAGAAGAAGAGCGATATTGGTGTTTTAGACCTAACACAGTTCTGTAATATGCATCAGTTCATATTATGTTGTGCTCCCAATGTATGCGATGTGTTTTCAACCTTTAATAACAAAGATTATCTGAAGGTGGATGAAGAAAGAGATGCGTTTGAAATCGTGTTTCACCGTTATAACATTTCTTCTGAAGTGGTCCCACTTGCTGATTTATCCGGTTTGTACAAGAAGGATATTTCCTTGTTTTGTACGGTTTATACTTTAGCCTAGAGAAGAGACTGTCTTCAAAGGGACGAATACATTAAATTTAGCAAAGTTTTTGTATTATACAGATGGTGATTCACGGGACGATAGTTCTCCCAGTCATCTCATTATGAGCTCGATGTTGATGAGATATTTGTCCAGCCATGAAGAAGGAGCTAAAATTAAGGTGATTAGTGCAAGACCCCTTTTTTATGTTTTATTAGCTTGAGTTGTCAATCACGTTTATTACTTTAAATTATAGCATCAGTTCATAAGTTCTTTGTTCGAGATAAGGTAAAGCGTTGCACGTATCACATAGCATGCCTAATATTCGTCTTTTTGAGGCTGAGATTTATCATTTTTTACAGAGGTGAAGAATACGATATTTACCACGACAGCAATTTAAAGGAAACTGCAAAAGTTGTACTGATACTTCTACGCTTTAAGACGAGATTAGAGCAACTACTTGTTGAATGGCCCGAGCATCCAACGCTCGCTCAGGTAAAGAAGAGACTCGAGATCGAAGCAAATCCTGTGCAATATTATATTGGTTTTTCAACTTTATCGGTTTTTCAACTTTGTTGGTTTTTCAATTGTATAAACCAAACAAGACATCATCAGCTGGCAATCGCTTAGAACTGTTTGAAGCATAGTGAAGTGTCATTACATTGATATATGTGTTTGCAACTGGCAAAAATAAGTTGGTAACTTCACAAAATCGTATTTTAGAAGACAACTTGAATTATACAGCTTTTAGATCTGTAATTAGCTGTATAATTACAAAGCTGTATAATTTAAATCGTATTTTAGAAGACAACTTTGATTATGGCAACATGGAAAGACTATCTAAATCCAGAATCAAGGAAATAAAAGCTCAGTTTCTCACCTTACTACAGCAAGTAATTCCTTGTTCATTGTACGGTATAAAACCTAGAGGCTGGCGTGTCATGGTCTGATGAGGCAATTACAAAGTTACAAGAAGTGGTTGTTGATAAAGAGATGATGATTGAAGTTATATCTCACAATGACAGTCAACATTATGGTGTAGCTTTGATGCAGACCATTGGTGAAGAGTGTTATAGCATAAATAAAGAATTTATTCAGAAAGGTAGTGATTTTATTGAATGGAAAATGTTTTTATTTTTATTTTACTTAAAACAGATCTCCGTAGACCATTACCTACACCAATACACAACCACCATTTACACCAATATATCCAACACCTTCCCACATACACCACCACATCCTACTCCCATACACCAGCACCTCCCTCTATACCTTTACCAACTATACCAATTTACCATAATCTACTTCCATATACCAGCACCTTTCCACATACATCACCACTATCTACACTAATATACCATCATCTACTGGTATACACCACCATCACCTCCTGCCACATACCAGCATCTACCCTCATATACCTTCACCAACGTCATCAATATACCATCAGATACCCACCATACACTGTCACCTACCCCATAATCACCATCTACACTAATATACCATCATCTACCCCTATACACCACCATCACCTACCCACCATACACCGTCAGCTACCCCCATACATCACCATCACCTACCCACCATACACCGTCAGCTACCCCCATACATCACCATCTACACTAATATATCATCATCTACCCCTATACACCACCATCCCTACCCACCATACCCACCATCATCCTACCCACCATACCGTCAGCTACCCCCATACATCACCATCTACACTAATATACCATCATCTACCCTATACACCACCATCACCTACCCACCATACACCATCACACATCACCACCTATATTATACAAAATTTACTCCAGGTAAAGCAACAAACTCTCCTTCAAAATCTCCTACTCAAAAACTATTTTCTTTCATTTACAAACTTTTATGAGTAATTGCTACAATTTCCCAGTAAAGAGTTTCCCTGTTACCTCACCAACTTACGTAGCTATATATCACCACCCTACAAGTATTCAAAAGCTTTCTCTTTCATAAATGTAACCATCAATTCCCATCTATTGTCCAGTATCATTCCCTCATCCATCTCATTTCATGTTGTAATGAGATCCATGAATCTGTTGTTATTTTCTATAAAACTATAATTTTAATACTTTGTTTTGGTTTTCTTTAAGGTTATGCTGTCTCAAATATTGGACAATTTGTTGTAACTGTGGGAACAAACATCACAGGTTATCAATTTCCTACCATTGAAATTCCTGGCTATGAAGATGTTGAAGTCACTCATGTTGAAAATCTCGACACATTTTGGTGCCATCTTACGGATTCTGCTACGGAAATGGAAAATCTCATGACTAATCTTCAAGATTATTGCGATGTTAATCCACCTAAAAGTACTGACTTAGATTTATTGAAAGAAGGCAAGCAGCGATGAATTTTGGTCTTGTTTTATCAAAACATCTTTCTTCTTTAACTGTTTGTTTGACATTATTTATTCAGGTTCTCCTTGTTGTGCGCGTTTCAGTAAAGATCAAATGTGGTATCGTGGGAGGATTCTACAGAAATTAACCAATAAACGCTTCAAAGTTCAATACGTAGATTATGGGAACTGTGAAGTGTTGACTTTAAAAAGGTTACAACCATTGTATCCAAATTTCACATGCTAATATTTATTTGTAAAAGTTCATTGCTTATTTCTAAATGTTCTTGTTTTATACAGTATAGCCGTGCTGAGTCAAGAGTTTTTACAATTACCTGTCCAAGCAATTGAATGTGGCCTTGTGAATATTTCATCGTCGAAGAGGAATAAGAGCAAATATGTCGAGCAGTTTCACGACCTTGTCGACGGTAAAGAACTCGTCTGTCGTATTGAGAATCTTACAGATAATAGCAAATATCTGGTTTTGATTTTGAACACCGAGAGAGAAACAGTTGTAATCAACGAGATAATGAACTTGTTTATTGAAAATGATGGAAAAGAAGCGGCCGGGAAAGGTAAATATGTTTTGTGCGGTGTTTTTTTATTGTTCGGTATTTCATTGGAATTATTAATTTAGTGCCTTTCTTGTGTTGTGTCACATTTTGTAGTTATATCAAAAACTTTTAAACTCACAGGCTACAACTAAAGGGAATTTTTCTTAAATTGCATACTACCTTAAACGCCATTTTATCTGACATGGTTTTGGGCATAGTCAATTTTTTCTAGTTGAGTGAGTGAAGTTTTGACATCATGTGTTTGAATAAGTTTGTGTGCTGTTGTTTCGAAATATTTGAAATCGTCTTTGAATTCCAGCAGAAATTGTTTCGAAGGAAGTTCTTAAGATTGCACCCGCTAAACCCTTCATTGGCAGCGATGTTTCTGTGTACGTCACTTACGTGAACGATCCGCGAGATTTCTACTGTAAATTTACAAACACTGCTTCTCAACTTGACGATATAATGAACAACATGGAAACGTACTATCGCGATTTAAACGAAGACCAAGAAAGATTTACTAATCCGAAAATTGGAAACACTTGTTGCGCACAGTTCACTGTTGATGATGGATTTTATCGTGCTGTTATCACTAATGTTTTATCCGACGCTGTTGTTGTACGTTATGTTGATTACGGAAACACCGAGGAACTGCCATTTTCACGTCTTAAATGTCTCGACAGCTCCTTCGTTCACCTTCCAGAACAGGCTTTCAACGCAACTTTGTTGTTTTCAAATTGTGGCAGCGCGCCAGACTTTGAAAACTGTGTTGTCGACAGAGAACTCAGAGCAACGATTGTTAAACAAGACGATATTGGAAGGTGCTGCGTTCAATTGGCCGATGCAAATGAAAGTTGTTGTTTGAAGATCAATCAAAAGAAGGTAGGCAAAATTTGAATGCATGTTTACCATTGATGTGTACAGATGTTTACATGTTCTTGGAAGATTGTCATACTGTAACACATATGCTCAAAACAATCGTGTTATTCAACTATGTTTCTTTCGTTAGATAAAACTTCAAAGAAACCATGCAAAGTAAAGATTACAAAACTTCAAGTTAGAAAGAAAATTCCCGTGTATGTAACGTTTGCCATAAATTCACAAGATTTCTTCTGTCAAGCAACAGGAAGTTCCGTTCAATTGGATGATTTGATGAATGAAATAGAAGAACATTACAGGCCACTGAATGAAAGCGATGAAAAATATTCAGAGCCACAAGTACTGCTACATAATCAACAATTTTTTACACAAAATGTTGCAACGAAATGTTTAACTCAGTTATTTTTTTTGTATGTAGATAGGTGAATCTTGTTGTGCAATGTTTACTGAAGACGATGGTTGGTATCGAGCAACAGTTATAAATCATTCCGGAAATGACGTTCGTCTATGCTACCTTGACTACGGAAACACGGAGACATTACCTTTGTCTAGAGTGAAGTGTTTGTTAGACGATTTCACAGTTCTTCCAGCGCAAGGTTTTCATGCAAGAATGGATGTTCCTTCTGGTATTGATGCTTCGTCTTTTAAAGATTCCGTATTGGAGAAGGAATTTGATGCTAAAATTGTGAAAGAAATCAAGGAGAACGTTTACAACATCGAGCTTTTTTCGGCTGATGGAACCAAGCTATTTTCGCAGAAACCATGTGGTAAACTGAACTTATAGTATTTTTTTCACTTGTTACTTTTTCTTATTGTTATTTTTAATTTTCTTTCTTTTCATTGACTCACCAATTCGGAGTTCAATATGCTTCTGAAAGCCTAATATGACATGTGAGACCAATTATATTGAACTCTGAGGCTTCATATCGTACTTAAATATCTGAAGTACAATATCTTTGACTAGCTTTATGTTATTAGACATTTCAAATAAACGACTAATTTTTTCAAAGCAAACATGTTTCGGCATACTTTATGCCATCTTCAGTGCGAAGTGAACAAATATAGGAAGTTTACATGATAATATGTTATAGTGATAAAGAGGAAATATCGACTAGTTACGAATAATTTTTTACAGTTGAATGAGGTGATATAAAATGTTTGTGTTAGGTTTTATCACAAAAGAAAAAAATTACAAAGAAAATGAAAAATATCTGATAAGGTAGTAATAGCTATTTACAGGTCAAAGATAGTGTTAAGATGTTGTATTTGTTTGTTGAGGTTAGGTTCACGCTTCTTGATTTAAGGGCGAAGGAGTGTGAGCGGTGTCTAAGATACGGAAACAGGATTGTGTGTAATTTGTTTTGCAGTGTGGTGACGAGAGTAAGTGTCTGAATATGTTTGAGTTTTTGTCCGTGGTTGTGCGTTCTTTAATCCGCGTGGAAAGATGGCGGGTGGTCTCCCCAATGTAACTGGAATTACATCCAGCACAAGAAAATTCATAAACCACGTGGGATTTTAAAAGAATGGGAATAGGATCTTTGAAGCTAAAGTGATTTTGATTTTAAAGATGAAAAGGCTACCGACAGGTTAGCCGTATTTGTTATCTGGTTCTTATGTCATTGTATTGTGTGTACAGGAAATGTGTATTGTCATTGTGAATTAGTGTGAAGTGCGATCGACAGAATTTCCTAGTGTGCGCGGAAGTTTTGAACAACATTTGTCATTCGTGACAGATGAGTCAAATATCAAACGCGTTTGATATTAGATTGATCAATATTATATCAATATTTCACAGGTTTATAGAAAATAAATAAAACATAATAAAATAAAACTTTGGTTCGTCACCTGTCGTACCATAGTTTGAAGTTGGAAGATCGTTGATCAACTTGTTCCTTACAATGTTTGTTTGTTTGTTTCTTACTAGTTTGTGTTCAGTAAGTCAATTACAATGTTTGTTTGTTTTGTTTCTTACTAGTTTGTGTTCAGTAAGTCAATTAGTAAAAACTAATCACATTGCCGAACATCACCGAATCACAAAGCACAACATTGACTGGGACTCGGCAAAATGCATTACTTACAGTACTGACTATAGACAACGGCTTACATTAGAAAGTTGGTATACCAACTTGGAACAAACCCCCCTGAACAGAACACAGCAATTACCGGCACCTTACAAACGACTTATTCACAATACAAACAAACGATCAACTAAAAACATTACACTTCACACTAATTCACAATGACAATACACATTTCCTGTACACACATACAATGACGTAAGAACCAGATAACAAATACGGCTAAACTGTCGATAGCCTTTTCATCTTTTAAAATCAAAATCACTTTAACTTCAAAGATCCTATTCCCATTTAAAATCCCACGTAGTTTATGAATTTTCTTGTGCTGGATGTAATTCCAGATACATTGGGAGACCACTCGCCATCTTTCCACGCGGATTAAAGAACGCACAACCACGGACAAAACTCAAACATATTCAGACACTACTCGTAACCACACTGCAAAAACAATTAAACACAATCTTGTTTCCGTATCTTAGACACCGCGCACTCGCCTATAAACCCTTTATATCAAGAATCGTAAACCCAACCTCAACAAACAAATACAACATCTTAACACTATCTTTGACCTGTAAATAGCTATTACTACCTTATCAGATATTTTTCGTTTTCTTTGTAATTTTTTTTGTGATAAAACCTAACACAAACATTTTATAACACCTCATTCAATTGTAAATAGTTATTCATAACTAGTCGATATTTTCGCTTTAACACAATAACATATTATCATGTAAACTTTCTGTATTTCTTCACTTCGCACTGAAGATCTGAAGATGGCATAAAGTATGCCGAAACATGTTTGCTTTCAAAAAAATTGTCGTTTATTTGAAATGTCTTATAACCATTGTGCTCTTACGAAATAATGGAAACTTTATATTATTTCTATTACAAATTATATCACTTTATTTTTTTTTTCATTCAACTTAGCCCCAGTTCAAGTAAAGGAACCTTCTTTAACAAAAGGCAACAAAGAGCATGTCTATATCACATCCTTCACAACACCACAGAATTTTTTCTGTCAGTTGGCAAAGAGTTCAACACAGTTGGATGACCTAATGGAAAATATTGAGGAATACTACCGCCCTCTGAGCGATGGTGATGAAGAGCTGCTTAACCCAAAGATTGGCAACTTTTGTTGTGCTATGTTCACTGTGGTTGATGGATTTTACCGGGCTGTTGTTACGAATGTCTCCGAGCAATCTATCGAAGTTCGTTATATTGATTACGGTAATATTGAGAAACTGCCCAAATCAAGGGTAAAGCGCATGCTCCCTCGTTTTGCCGAGTTAAATGCGCAAGGCTTTACAGCAAGCTTGGTCAGCGGTTCCACTGCAAATATAACGAAAGCAAAAGATGCTGATGATTATCTAGAGGTGATGGTTGAACTTTTAAATCGGAACAACAATATTTACGGAGTTGAGGTTCATGACATGAATGGTGAAAGATTGTTTAAATGCAAAGAAAATGTCGAAAATGAACCAGGCGATAAAACTATCAAAAGTAAGAACTTCATCATTGTCTTGATTTAGAAGCCAAGCTTTAAGGTTTTCACTGAACACTCTTCCCTCTATTTATGTAGGTTTTCAAGTGCTTACCATTTGAAACCAAGTACGCAGTGGGATGTTTGTGGATCGCATTGTGAAAGTCCCATGTTGTTCTATCTTCAACTGGTGAAAATAAAGATATTTTAGAGAAAATTATGGCTGAACTGGATGACGTTTACTCTCATCTTACGGCCGAAGATAACATGATCACGAATCCTGTGGTTGGAATGACGTGTGTGGCAAAATATCCTGGTGAGTTTTTGTGTTTTATTGCTACGTACACTTACTGTATTTATAGTGAATGATTGAAACCTGGAGTTTTCGATCAAATATCATTAAATTTTTTTATTTATTTGTAGTTGACAATGGTTGGTATCGATCTCAAATTCTTGACATCCTTCGCCAAACCAAATCAACGTTTTTTACATCGATTTTGGAAATTGCAAAATTGTTGATTTGTCGAGCGTAAAAACTCTCGCCCCAGCCTTCTGCAGCAAACCCGTTCAAGCTGTGAGATGCCGTTTGTATGGTGCCGAGAAAACAACGTGGAGTGAGTCCGAGTGCGAAATGTTCGAGGGCCTGGTACTAGAGAAACATTTGATAGCAGAAGTTAAGTCACTAGGTGAGCATGGCAATAATGACGACAGTTTTATATATATTTATCATTGTTACAATCGAGTGTTTTTTTTGTTTTTTCAGATGGCGACGAAACGACATTAATTGTCGATTTATTTGACACAAGTGGGACAGAAAATGTGAGAATCTTTGATGAACTTGTGAAAAAATCTTCAACAACAAAAGCTAGCGGTCAACGAAACCTAAAACTTTCATCACTACCGAAACTGGGCTTGAAGGATGTCGAAGATGTTTTTGTTGAGAGTGCAGAGTCTCTTGATAACTTTGTGTGTCAGCTCTCACGGTTTAACAACAATATAGAAACATTAGCTGGCATGATGTACGATATATACCACCAGGAAACCGCTCCTGACTTAGTATCCACTCCTTTGCAAGTAGATGATGTCATTGCGGCTCTATATTCCGAGGATGAAACCTGGTACCGAGCTTCTGTCTCGAAACATATAAACGATGGTGATATTGAAGTTATGTTCATCGACTACGGTAATTCTGAAATCATCCCCGAATCTGAAATAGGAAAAAGAGTTCGTTATTTGAATGACGAATTGTCACGTTTTCCACCAATGAGAGGTTTGGTATGTTGTATGGCTTCTATTGATGATAACGGACACCATTACTCGTGGACTCCACGCGCGCATTACTCTTTCGTGAGATACGTGGTGGAGAAGGAGTTCAAAGCAAGAATAATGATGGGCGATGAGGAACCACTTTCAGTAATACTTGAACACAAATCTGAAAGTATATACACGTGGCTTGCACGTAAGAATCTCATGTCGAGAAAGCAAAGTGAGGTCGATGTTGAGCAAGATGATTTTTATGAGCTCGAGTTGGAAACTGGGACGCTTTGTGACGTGTATGTCACGTGGATTAAAACACCACAATTATTTTTTGTTCAGCAATCATCAAGTTCAGATGACATCAATAAAGGTTGGTAATTTTTAGTGCAACTTTGCACTATTGTAAATTGCAGAGCAATTAGTTGGAAAATGTTTCATGTCAGACATGAAATTTTCACCAGATTTTTAGGGATCAGGGGAAAATTTGTGCTTGTCCCCCCCAGTAGCGTAGTCAGCCCCCAGGTTTGGTCGTGTTATGTAAATTTTTTGATGTTCACTCACTGCAAAACCGATAGGTTTCTAAAGAAATGAATAATGATAATGATTTGAAATTTACATGTTTGTAAATGTAGATCGTCCAGGTTGGTATAGTCCTGAGAAGGACTGTTTTGTTGTTTTGTTGTTGTTGACTGACGTTTCGACAACCTTAGCGGTAGTCATCTTCAGAGGTAAAAAAAAATAAATGGACGATCTACATTTACAAACATGCAACGATACTCCCGGGTTCAAACCATTTACTTGATTTGAAATTTACATAGCAGTAAGAAATTTGCAGTCTGGCTACGTGACTTGCTTCCTCTCACCGAAATCCAAAACAACAGAGATATTGTTTGCGGAAGTTGTATTTTCGATTAACAAGATTAACGCATCTTTTTTACAACTCTTAACACTTCTGTTTAGTGTTTAATTTGAACACAAATTTTGGTTTATATTGGTATATGAATGCATGCAAAAATATTATCTTGATCTTTTAATACCATCATTTGAACTCTTTTTACTTTGAACAAACGTCGAAACTGCTTCATAAAAATATATGTTGATGGATGTCAGCTTACACTCGACTTATCAAATTTGTTAAAAGTCAATTAACTTTTCAGTTTATACAGAATTATGTTAAATGGGAGTTATGGAGAAATGAAACAAATTTATGAAACATTTTTTGATTTATTAAAATCACTAGTCATAAAGCTGGTTTTTTTTTGAAAATTTTCAGTGTAGTTAATTCATCATAATTGTCGCTTATCTTTGTAACTAATCATGATTACGGTATTGAAATAGTTGTGGATGACCTTCATAAATCCTGCACTAATGGCGACCAAAAAGAGTTGGAAGAAATCCATCCAGGTACCTTATGCGCAGCTCAGTATACGGTTAACGATAAATGGTATCGTGCGAGAGTTGTAAAGGAGTCTGGACCCGAATCCTTTGAAGTTGTTTATGTTGACTACGGGAATAAGGAAGCAATACCCAAACAAAGGTAGACTTTAGAGTTCGACTTCTTTGTCGTAACTTTAATCTGTTTTATGTACTTTATTTTATAATGTGCCTGTGTTTTTTAGGATTAAGGCGCTAGATCCCAGTTTTCTTGAACTACCTGCGCAAGCTTTGTGCTGCAGTCTGGAGACGAAACACCCTCTGACTTGGAATGATGAATTGAAGGGAAAATTTGTGAGTGAAACTACTGACAAACGTTTAACGATGACCGTTGTAAAAGTGGTTGGCAGTCAACATGTTGTGACTTTAAAGAATGACGAGGGATTGTTGTTGAACAATATGTTCATTGATGGATATGGTGAAAATGATTCAAAACTGAAATCCTCTCAGGTATTGTATTATTAATGAAATGGTTTCTAACTTGTTGAAATGATTAAGTGTTGTTTTCACATATTTTCCCATGTTTTCACATGTTGAAGTGATGATGTGTTGTTTTCACATGTTTTCCCATGTTTTCACATGTTGAATTGATGATGTGTTGTTTTCACATGTTTTCACATGTTGAAATGATTATGTGTTGTTTTCACATGTTTTCCCATGTTTTCACATGTTGAAGTGATGATGTGTTGTTTTCACATGTTGAAATGATTATGTGTTGTTTTCACATGTTTTCACATGTTTTCTTATGTTGAAATGATTAAGTGTTGTTTTCACACGTTTTCACAAGTTTTGTTTTACTATGAACGTTAACAATTTTTGTCACGTAATATTTTATTAGGAAACCCAAATTACTTTATCCTCATTTCCTGTGGTTGAGAAAACGACTGTCCAAGCCTTCACCAGTCACGTGGTCAGTCCACGCGAGTTCTTTGTTCAGCTTGCGACAGCGGAGACTGAGCTCGAACGCCTTGCGAGATTTGCCGAAATCTATAATTATTGGCCTGATGGTGATAACTACAAACTGGACAATGTGAAAGAGGTAAAAAAATTTTCACCATTTTTTTAGTCGACCCGTCTTCGTTTATTTAGCGTTTGCTTTAAGTTTGTGATACATGCAATTCATGGTCTCTATAAGATTATCGTGACTTTTTCAATCAAATCATAGAGATTTAGCTAATTTAAAACCACTATATACTGAAGGCTCAACATTGGATTGTTGTTGATCAACTAATTATATGCTTTAGAATATGTTTTGCTGTGCGCGGTTTTCTGAAGATGGAGTCTGGTACCGAGCTCAAATCCTTACTGTCGATGTCGACGATAAAAAGGTAACGGTTCGATTCGTTGACCACGGAAACTCGGATGTGGTTGATACTTCTGATCTACGACGTCTAACCGCTGAACTGTCATCGTCGCCTTGTCAAGCTGTACCTTGCCGACTTTCGGGCGGACCTTTGTCCCAGGAACAGAACTTGATTTTCGTCACGGCCGTTGTGGGTAAACCACTAATGGCTACTTTTATTGAATTCTGCGACAACTTTTGGCTTGTAACCTTAGTAGATGACGGGCAACCAATTAACGAATTGTTGAACCCTCGTAAAGAATCTCATGAGACCCCAAGCAATGGAAAACAATGTATTCCGAAACCGATTTTAAAACCTGCAGACGAGTTACCTGTATACATTGTCAGCGCAACCGCAGCTAAAGATGCGATACTTCAAATAAGTAGTAGTTTAAGTGATTTGGAGACTTTGATGGACGATATAGCAAACGATCCTCCTCAGATCCGATTGACAAAGAACGAAATCGAAGTTGGAGACTATTGCCTTGCTCGCTTTACTGAAGACGAGGCCTGGTACCGAGCAAAGGTGAAGTGAATGTATGATCTGTAAACGTTAGTCATGTAAACTCGATCATAAAATACGTCGGTTTTATCAGTAGACATTAGGAAACAGTCAAAAGCTTTGATTTATCGTTTGTTAACTCATGATATCGTCTTTCTGTGTTTAGATATTAGAAGTTGATGGGGAGAATGTCAGTGTTTTTTATGTTGACCATGGTAATAAAGAATGGCTTTTGTTTGATGAACTTGCTCCGATAAATGAAAGATTTTGTAATTTGCCCGAGTTTTGTTTTTGTTGCTCTTTGGATCTATCGACAGTTGACGGGGTATGGTGTGAAAATACTGCTGGTAAACTTCTTGAAATGTTTTCGGAAAATGAGTTACTTTGTAAAATTTCCACAAATAATGACAATGGTGTGTTGGTAAAGCTGTATTGTGATATTGAGGATATTTTGAGTCGTGTTGTGGAATATGAAAATGTGTCAGTATCGAAACTCATTGAAAATAACAAAGAAATCCACGAAATTCAATGTTTTGTTGTATATGAATTCAATATCGACGATAAAAAGAATGTTACTTGTTCTCATATTGAATCACCGAAGAAACTTTGGTGTCAATTATCAACCAATGAAACGGAATTAAATGATCTTATGAACCACTTAGATGAAGTATATGGTAGCCTTGGTCCCGAAGAACTACTTGCTCACAATTACGACGTCGGACGTCCTTGTTGTGGTCAATTTCTTGAAGATGATGGGTGGTATCGTGCTGAAATTGTTGAAGTTGTACCAGAAGGTTTGTCAATGAAAGGGTTTTTGTGTAGGAATTTTTTTAAGTAGTTTCTAACGTGTTAACATTCAAATCTTTATAACAAAGCAAAAAATATTTTATGTTAAGGTGTACGTGTTCGCTACGTGGATTATGGTAACGAAGAGGTGTTATCAACATCAAGAATTCTTGTTCTTAAAGACGAGTTCCTTGTTTTACCTTGTCAAGCTTTTTGTGTGTTGGAAGATATTGAAGCAAAGGATGATGAATGGAGTGGCGATGCTGTAACGTTGCTTGAAGAATTCACATCGGAAAGGTTTGTGCAATAATCATCTTGGGCCGGTTACACGAAGCCTGGATAGCGTTATTTATTGTATAGCAATATTTTTTAAACTTTTCTGTAACCTTTTAAGAAGCAAAAAATATAAGATTTGAACTGAGTCATCTCTGAAATAAAACATTGTTTCGAAGATCACAAAATTTCCTTGTCGTATGAAAAATATAAACGCTTTTTTTATAAGTTTGAAAAATTTTGCTATCCAATGGATAACGCTATCCATGCTTCGTGTAACCGCCCCCTGTAATTTAGCTTAAACAGAGAGGAAGATTGACCATTAATGTTGTGTAAGTAACAAATATTTTATGATTTCTTAGATTGCTGTCTTTAGTGGTTAAAGGAAGAGAGAAACTTGGTGGTTTTACTTGTGCAATATACGGAACTCTTGACGAAGAAGAACAATCATTGAGTGAACTTCTTATTGAAAAAGCATTTGCTGTAAAATCTTTGCCACCTGCACCTATATCAGTTTCAAACAATCCTCGTGCAGACGTATCTTTCGTAAACATACATGTGAATATTGGAGATGAGCTTAATCTGTTCTTCGTGTCAGCTGAGTCGCCTGCAAACATTTGGTGTCAGCTGTCCGATTCTGAAGATGACTTACTTGATCTAATGGAAAAACTTGGAGCATTTTACAGTTCATTAAACGGAAACGAGTTTTCACTCCAACAACCTGTTGCTGGTGCCGCTGTTTGTGCCCAGTTCTCTGAAGATGACTCTTGGTATCGTGCTGAGATCCTGGCAACTACTCCTAACATCACAGTCCGTTTTGTAGATTATGGCAATAGCGAATCATTACCCTTGACAAAAATAAAGCTTTTAAAAACGGATTTCGCTCGAATGCCAAAGCAAGCTATCTGCATTTCTCTGTTCGGTTTACTTTCCAATTCCCTTGATGAATGGTCCGATGCAAAGCTCGCCTTGATGGAAGAAATGTGTTCTGAGAAAAGTTACATCGGTAAAGTTCTTGGAATGCGCGATAATTTATTGGAAATGTCTTTAATAGACACCGAATCCAATGTTTCATTGCTCGACGAGTTGTGTTGTGCGAATCTTATTTTGAGGAAGACTCAAGTGGATACTGTACAAGGTGATTTGTTAACAAGCACAGATGAAAATAAAAACGTTGAGGAGCTTACTGCGATTGAAACTGAAGTTCTCGACAAAGCACAAGTTGATGATGTTGATTCAGGAGACAAGTCTACTAAACCAGTTACAGATGAGCGTCCTCCGATTGAAACAGAAGAACTTGACAAAGGAGAAATTGATATTGCTGAATCAGACGGCAAGTCGACAACTGAACCAGTTACAGATGAGCGTCCTCCGATTGTAACAGAAGAACCTGATAAAGGAGAAGTTGATTATGTGGAATCAGGAGACAAGCTAACTGAACCAGTCACGGATGAGCGTCCTCCAATTGAAACAGAAGAACTTGGCAAAGCAGAAGTCGATGATGTTGAATCTAATGATGAGTTGACTGAACCAATAACAGATGAGCGTTCTCCAATTGAAACAGAAGAACTTGACAAAGCAGAAGTTGATGATGTTGAATCAGGAGACAAGTTAACTGAACCAGTTACAGATGAGCGTCCTCCAATTGAAACAGAAGAACTTGGCAAAGCAGAAGTTGATGATGTTGAATCAGGAGACAAGTTAACTGAACCAGTTACGGATGAGCGTCCACCAATTGAAACAGAAGAGCTTGATGCAGGAGAAGTTGATGATGTTGAATCGAATGACGAGTTGACTGAACCAATAACAGATGAGCGTCCTCCAATTGAAACAGAAGAACTTGACAAAGCAGAAGTTGATGATGTTGAATCAGGAGACAAGTTAACTGAACCAGCTACGGATGAGCGTCCTCCAATTAAAACAGAAGAACTTGATGCAGGAGAAGTTGATGATGTTGAATCAGGAGACAAGTTAACTGAACCAGCTACGGATGAGCGTCTTCCAATTGAAACAGAACAACTTGATGCAGGAGAAGTTGATGATGTTGATTCAGGAGACAAGTCTACTGAACCAGTTACAGATGAGCGTCCTCCGATTGTAACAGAAGAACTTGGCAAAGCAGAAGTTGATGATGTTGAATCAGGAGACAAGTTAACTGTACCAGCTACGGATGAGCGTCTTCCAATTGAAACAGAAGAACTTGACAAAGCAGAAGTTGATGATGTTGAATCTAATGATGAGTTGACTGAACCAATAACAGACGAGCGTCCTCCAATTGAAACAGAAGAACTTGACAAAGCAGAAGTTGATGATGTTGATTCAGGAGACAAGTTAACTGAACCAGTTACAGATGAGCGTCCTCCGATTGTAACAGAAGAACTTGGCAAAGCAGACGTTGATGATGTTGAATCTAATGATGAGTTGACTGAACCAATAACAGACGAGCGTCCTCCAATTGAAACAGAAGAACTTGTCAAAGCAGAAGTTGATGATGTTGATTCAGGAGACAAGTCTACTGAACCAGTTACAGATGAGCGTCCTCCGATTGTAACAGAAGAACTTGACAAAGCAGAAGTTGATGATGTTGAATCTAATGATGAGTTGAATGAACCAATAACAGACGAGCGTCCTCCAATTGAAACAGAAGAACTTGACAAAGCAGAAGTTGATGATGTTGAATCTAATGATGAGTTGACTGAACCAATAACAGATGAGCGTCCTCCAATTGAAACAGAAGAACTTGACAAAGCAGAAGTTGATGATGTTGAATCAGGAGACAAGTTAACTGAACCAGCTACGGATGAGCGTTCTCCAATTGAAACAGAAGAACTTGATGCAGGAGAAGTTGATGATGTTGAATCAGGAGACAAGTTAACTGAACCAGCTACGGATGAGCGTTCTCCAATTGAAACAGAAGAACTTGATGCAGGAGAAGTTGATGATGTTGAATCAGGAGACAAGTTAACTGAACCAGCTACGGATGAGCGTCCTCCAATTGAAACAGAAGAACTTGATGCAGGAGAAGTTGATGATGTTGAATCAGGAGACAAGTTAACTGAACCAGCTACGGATGAGCGTCCTCCAATTAAAACAGAAGAACTTGATGCAGGAGAAGTTGATGATGTTGAATCAGGAGACAAGTTAACTGAACCAGCTACGGATGAGCGTCCTCCAATTGAAACAGAAGAACTTGATGCAGGAGAAGTTGATGATGTTGAATCGAATGACGACTTGACTGAACCAATTACGGATGAGCTTCCTCCAATTGAAACAGAAGAACTTGATGCAGGAGAAGTTGATGATGTTGGACCAAGAGATAAGTTAACTGAACCAACATCAGATGAACGTGCAAAAACTGAAATACACGATGAACTTTCCATAAAACGGCACCAACTTTGGATGATTGAAGATTGTGCAGAAGTTTGTAGTGATGAAATTCCTGTAGATCACCGCGAATTCTCTTTGTTGTCACCAGAAAAAAGAGATGCCCACGCTGACGTCAATTCTGACGTCACTAAAGTAAACACTTGCTTTGAGAAAGAAAATGTTACTGGAAGATATGCTGATGAAAAGAATGAAAACGTTTAAAACCTTAACGAAGATGAAACTTCAGATTTAGATATTCAATCAAAAATTGAAAATTAACAATCCCGCCAATTAACGGATCAACTAAATCAAACATCTATTGAAGTACATTAAGTTTTTTATTAAATGTTTTGTTGGCAACTTTTGTTGGCAATTTTGTTTTCCTTAAATAAAGTATCGCTTTGATAAAACAAAATGGCGGCTTTATATCACTAGTTCAAATGAAGGCCTTTTAAATCATTTAAATTCCACAAACGTTGATGGAGGCTCAAATTAATCGGTTCAATGTGCTTGTGAATGAGTATTTTGTGAGTATTGATAAATATAGATTTTCATGTTTACCAAACTGTTCTCATGTGTTCATTTCTTTTTCAGAAAATCAACGAGTTTCAATTGGTGTTTTCCAGGTGAAGTCAATTGTGTTTCCATGTAATTCTTTGCTAAGTTAAGCATAAAACATCTCCAAACTTACATTTAGGGAAAGAAATAATCATTATTGAGAGATAGCTTGTCCGTATGGGCATTTGTCTGATCAAGAAGTAACATTTATTTCATTTAACTCTTCAGCTTTATAGCACGAGACCAAACGCATGACAACGAAAAAGATGAGAAGTTCCTTTCGGCATTTACAGAATTGTGGAAAACTATCAATTCCTTACTGGAGACAGAGAAAAAGGATGTGGTACTCGACTTAATGAACTTTCCATTAATTTATTTGTTGTTAATGGCCGAATCCGCTGAATGTTTAATCTCAATAGGCCGCGTTCGCTAAACATTTGTTTCAGTTTACTGTTCAACATAAGTAATATTATTGGATAGAAAGATCCGAACACAACATTATTTTATGTAATGTTAGAAACTTACAGCTCTTTGTTGGCAGAAAATGACATTCCCAGCATCAGAAATGTTTTTTAGTAAGTTTAAACAAAAGTGGCATTTCGTTGGTCTTTTCACATCCATAGAGTTTCCATGCTACACAATCCTCCACACCTTTTGCATCAGTATTACACGACTTCCCAAAGATCACTCAACCCACCACCAAAGAATCACCAGTGAAACATCAAGTAGTACACCACATTATTACCAAAGGTCCCCATGCTCTGCACGTCCCGCCGTCTCCCACCTGATCGTTTACACATTGCCAAAAAGAATTCCAACAAATGCTTGATCTTAGAATCATCCGCCCTTCCAGCAGTCAGTATGCCTCTCCTCTCCACATGGTTCCCAAGCCACAACCGGTGACTGGCGACCCTGTGGTGACTACCGTGCTTAACGAATGACTGTACCCGATCAGTATCCCGTTCCACATCTTCAGGATTTCTCTGCCAATCTCCACGGTATGACTCTTTTTTCTTTTTTCCGATTTTGCAAGTTCTTTTTTGAATATGGGGGCAATATAGAAGCCTGTGTGTGTGACATCAAATTTCGTCGACAACAAATGCACAAGTTTACTAGGTGTTCATTTTATTCTTGTTAAGATCAAAAACATGTATAATGTGTTAAACAATGGATCATTCGATGAATACAGGTATGTTATATGTTATAAAACAAAAGTCTATTTACAGTTATTGTAGACCTAATAGTTAGATTATATGTGTAGAGTAGTACAGTCTAACCCGTTTTAAGTACACACCATTGGACAACAGACTAGTGTTTTGACTGGCTTAATGAAAGTGTTAGCTTGATTGAGGTTTCATCATTATACTTCCATCATTATTAGCTATATGAGATTAAGTTTTGGATTTTACACAGTATCTGCTTAGTACAGGGTCATTTGATACAAGAGGTTTGACTGTATATATTATATCATTTAAGAATTTGATTTTTTTGTCAGATATTTCAAACACCAAGTCAGATCATTAAAGTTCATACAGAAAGACCTGATTGATTATAGAAATTGCCCTCTTTGCCCACAATTCAGTATTTGATTTCTTTTTTTGTACTATTTGCTTTGTGAACTATTTTAAATTATATGTTTTTTGTCACATATATTATCAGAACATTTAAAGTTGTTGTGAAATATGAAGTGTTACATGTTTACCATAAAATTTGTTTCATTTTATTAAAGAGCTTTGTTTGCTTTAGACTGGAGAGTTAGGTGCGCCATTCATTCCATGGATGCTTGCTTTGGTCTAACTTCATAAAAGTTGGCAGGGAATAGTTTTGCTGTCCCAAACCATGGCTGCCTTAAGTTTGCTAATCAGGATGAAGTAGATGATTTTGTTGATCAATATAGCAAGTCTAATAACAAAGTAGGAGAGGTAATTATTGCATGATGAAGGACTTTGAAGCCTTTTCAAAAGTATTCTGTGAAGGGGAGAGTGAATAGTTTAAAAACAAACTTTAAAAGCAATGGCAAAGCCAGCACTTTTTTACTTTTACATTGCAATATTTTTGTATTCAATCACTGGAAAAACAATGAATGGATTTGATTTTCTAAAGAAATTATTAACAATTTTGCTGACAAATTGGCATTGTAAGAGTAAAAGATTGGGGCTTAGCCCTGAGAAAAGTGGGTCTATGCTTCATGCAGGTCCATGGGCCCTGATACATACGTAAGTAGCTACGTGGATTTAAAATCAAAATTACAAACAGCCAATTTTTTTCTTTTCCTTTAATTTATCATGCTTATGCATGGTCTATGACTTGATTGTGTAAACTGTCATGTTTATTTTTACAGTAATAAAACAATTGTTATATATGCGCTAATCTATAATGTGCTCCACCTTATTTTAGAGTTGTCAGATATTTAAGGCAGGAGAAGTTACAGAAGCACTTCACTCCAAAGGAAAAAATCAAGTTTTTGATGAAAAAGGAGTGTTTGGTAGTTGTTGCAGTCAGCATTCACACCTTGGACGATTTTTCAGCACTAAATATGGGGAAAGGTTAGTGTCTTACACTTGGTTTGCACGTAATTATCAATATTCTTGATCTTTGATGAGGTAGTATGGAGAACAAATCGTCGGGTTATAATTTCTTTTCCTGTGTCAATTTTGAAATAAAGGGACAAAGGACAAAACGATTCTGTGCTAACGAGTTCTATTATTACCCTTTAATAATATTTAGTGTCTTATTATTAATATTCAGAATTTCGTATTCGCTGTTCCTAATCCAAAGCATTTTAAAGATGCTGACCAAAGTCCTGGTGTTGATTTAAAATAATGTATGATATTGGATGTGTATTATCATCACATTTAAAGGTATTTTAATGTTGGCATGTAAAATACATGTGATGTGGGACAAGTTCATTCACCAACTAAACTTTGAATAAATTGGTACCGTTCTAGGCAAACAAGAGGCATGACATTTTGTCAAAAGTCTCAATTTCGGTGCCGATATTTCATTTTTATGGACACAAGGCTTCATGCCAGGTAATGAATAAAGCTTTGTACCTGGTAATGACAGGGATGGATTAAGAGGCGGGATAGCGGAGGAATGTGCTCTCCTCCAACCGTGGAGATGGATGAGGAGTGGCATTTTCCTAAGAAATTTATGTATATCAAACCATCAAGCGATCGTAATTTTGGTTTATGGAGCACAATTTCAAAATCTCCAATCATTGTATATAAGTAACAAAATTTAACGAAAAATGTCTTGCATGTTACGGCAACAAGCAGCCACTAGAATCTTATCCAAACTAGAGCACCCCCTCCCTCCAGAAAAGTACATCCCTGGGTAATGATGTAGCGATTGAAGAAAGACAATCTTTTCTGCTCTGGTTTCTTCCTTGATTAAAAGCCCCCGTATGTAAAATATTATTTTTTAACGTCTTCAAAAAAACAGGTCAAATTCAGTCCTAGAAGGCTCGATGGTTTTGGTCTTACAGATGGTGAGGCTATTGAAAGGCTCTGGGCTTACCTTCGTAGGTTCTCTGCAATTACTAAGGAGATGTCTGCCAGTAGAAGAGTACCGTAGATCTTTTGACAGACGCGCTTCTTCACATATCTCGAAGAAATTTTAGCAATGCAGGTGCTTGATTATTGTCATTGCTTTATGTGTAACTATGCGTTGACACAATGAAAATGTTTTTATTTGTTTGTTGCGCCTTAATTGTTTTAATTTTTTGTATATGATTTGTTTCAGGAAAATCGTTAACGTCGAAGCTTAAAAAATGTCTACAACTTAAAATTAAAACGCAACAAGAAATGAAGGATTTATTTAGCGAACTACCTGGTAAGTAGTTCTGGTAGGTTAGAAATTTCTTATGTTTTCTGTGGCCTGACCAAACTCTCAATTCAATTTGCATCCAAGGAAATACGAACTTATTTTGTTTGTTAGTGACGTACGATCCTGAAATTGTTTGTCAGTGGGAGGCCAGAGAGAAGGAAATTATGTCAAGAGTCAACCCAGGTATATAATGTCATTCATGGCAAATAGTTTCATTCTTAACAATTCAGTCTGTAGGATTTAAAGACGTACTTTTTAAATACAGAACATAAAGAAACCACGGAGAACTGGAAAGTGACGTACGTTCGAAAGCTACTGCATTTTAAACAACTAAGGTAGGTTTTTTAATGTACTAAACTGGCTATTTCTCTATAATACATGCCTATTGACGTTTTAATATTTCTTTTGAGCCTAATTGGTGAATTATAAAATTCTTAGTGCTACATCATTCGGATGTTTTGAAGAAAACCAGGAGATAACATCTCTGAAGATTACTCAATTCATCAGATGTCGAAAAAACTATACCAGTATGTATAAATGTGTCAAAGCAATATTTTGCTTTAAAGTTGTTTTTTTTACATACGCGCAAAATTTATGTAAACAGGTTTCGAAAGATTTTAAAAGATATTGAACGAAAGCATTCTATAAAAGAAAGATGGAAACCTGGTCATCCTAATTTTGACATCGTTGCATTGCAAGTCATACAAGGAAAACGAAAAGATACTATCGGAGCTTTACATGGACTTTCCATAGAAAGGCATTTCTTAATAACATTGAGAAAGAAGTATGCAGGTACTGTAATGCACTGTATATTTCGAATACTTGTAACCTAAGCTATGTTACCATATCTGTCTTTTGTTGTTCTTGTAAATGTTAATTTTGTATTCAGAATGGATGACAACAACTTGTAATCACGCTCAATCTGCTATCATCGATGTTTTTACTCAGTATTTTGATATTCTTGCTGAAATTTTTCTTGATGATATGTATGGCCATCTAGAGTGGTGTGTCAAACAAGGTAAGCTTGAAATTACGCAACGTGTTTGTGCTTGGCATATGCCTTGGTGATTGGTTCGTTGTGTCAGAACCAATCACCAAGTGATTGTCCTGCTTTGTTCGTTCATTCAATACATGTCCTGCCTTTCTCGTTCATTCAATATGTCCTGCTTTGCTCGTTAATTGGTGATGTCCTGCTTTGCTCGTTCATTCAATACATGTCTTTAGATAACGAGCAGTTAGCGAGGTCTGGTACCAATTGTTTGGAAAATCTCGTCATATCCATTGGCAACACGTTCTCCGAAGACGTCTGGGAAAAGACATATCAATGTGTAAAAACGATATTTGAATCAACCGTACCTCACGAACTATTGAAATGGTGGAGTCCACCCACACCTGATGTCACTCCTCCGTCATCACCACTCAAGATAAGTTACACTTAGGGCCTGATTATACGGAGGCGAGCTGGCCCGGATAGCGAGCTAGCCCCGATGATTTCAAGGGATTGAAAAGAGCCAAAACTTCAAGGTTAAAAATTACAAATGTTTGCGAAGCACCACACGTCATTCTGGTTGTAATTCTCAAATTATGGCAAGTTGGTTGTTTTAATTTTAAATGTTTTGCGTAGTTATTAAATCAGAATTTTGTGAAATTGCTTGAGAAAATTTATCTGATAATAAGTATTGAATCGTTTCTTTAAAATTTCACTGTAAAATTTCAGACAAATTTTCATAACTATTCTGTTTGTTTTATGTATTTATTACCTTTAAAATTGACGTATATTGTAGATAATGTTACCTGTTGACCTGGAGGATGATATCGTGCCCAAATATCTGGAAGGTAAATAAAAAGTTTTTGAATTCTTTTAAAGGAAAATGTTGCTTCAATTGTCTCCATGATTATAGGATTGGAAAATATTTCATGGTAAGCTAAAGCTCGCATATTAAAAAAGCTCATTTGAACCAAAAGCTCATATGAAGCAAATGTTCGCATATTACAATATAGCTCGTGTGAATCTTTAACTCGTATGGACAAACAGCTTGTATTCTTTGAGTAACAAGTGAAAATTTTTCCGTATTATTTTTTAGACGAGGACGAACAAGATGGTCAGCAATCGTCAAAAGGTTTGAATGAAACAGAGGAGGAAATGCCTCAAGAAACAGTTGAAGAAACAAAAGAACAAGACAGCATCAGTTTACATAGTACGCCTAGTTTACGATTTGAACCTGTCGAAGAACACGAACCAGGTAACTATGTGTTAGAAATCGAGATTAATAATTTGTTGTCACAGCCTGCTGCCATTTACGTGTTTAATTTATTTAATTTGTTTAATTTACTTTTATTTTATTTATTTATTTATTTATTTTGGTTTATTGGAAAGGCGTAGAAAAACGTATAATTGATATATGCGTTTGAAAACTCAATCTGAAGTAAACAGCGACGTCATGTAACATTTCCTGAAACTGCTTATGTTCTAAAAATTTACATTTTTTGCAATGTTTGAAACAATAATGTTGTTAATTGTTGCTAATAGAACTAATAATGTTACTAATTTGTAATTATTACTACTTCTCCTTTTAACACTTATTTTTCATAAAAAATGGCACTAACTTAAGGAACTCGTTTTTGCTTTATTTTTTGGCATTCGTTGCTTATTTTATTTTATTTTAGAAGACCTCTAATAAGATAAATTAGCCCTTTGTTTGACATATTCAAAAGTTCGATTTTTACCGACAAATGAAAAAATCGTCTGTGCGTGAATACGGAAATGTTCAACAAACACCCGAGTGTCATTTTTAAATTTTTTCATGTATCTACTTTAACGTCGTAAAATCATCTCATTATTTTAGTTGTGCAGACGGAGAGGATGCTGTTCAATTCATTGATCATTAAGTGTGTCGTTCAATTGGAACTTATCCAAATGATCGACAATGTCGTCTTTTTCCCAAGCACCAGCAAGCGAGAAGATGAAGATACTATGGCTGAATTACAGGTCAGTTATAATTGCGGTCATTGTAGGTAATACTGAGATAAATTGCTTTGTCGTAATGTTGTTATACCAGAGTTCCCCTTGGTGGCATAACAAAGTTCTTAGCTGAAGTACAGAATATGTAATATACAGAAAAGTCACTTGTGTCGGAACCATTGATGTTTTTATCCTCAAGCATATTGTGCCGCGCATATCGACTGGCATTATTCCAGCAAGAAGTTTTGGGCTTTTCACTTGTTTCCAAACACTAAAATGAACCGACGTCATTTCTTATATTGAAATATTTTTAATTTCATTACGAAGTAATGACGTCATGTAATTGTAGTGTTTGGAAACAAATGAAAAACCCTAAATATATCTTGCTGGAATAATGGCGGCCATGAGGACGCAGTGCACACTTGAGGCCCTTCTCTATAATTATTATTCTGTGGTTGTAGGGCTGGGGTGGTCACAAAGTCATATATGCATCTCTTAATCTGTAGAGAACAATTGATTTCACTGGAAGTTAATACAAAAAACATGAGTATATGAACCTCCCTATTTATCGAGTTCACATTTGGTACCTCTTTCTTTAGACACGTAAAAAATTTCAATAACTATCCTCAAGAGACTTTATAGAATAAACGATTTCCTTGGGTTGAATTCCTTAAAGTTCGTTATGTGTTGTATGCAGGCTTGTAAGATCCTCTTTCACCTGATTGGTCAAACTGATTCTCTAAATCACCTACAATGGTGTAATAAATCATCTTTCACTTGATTGGTCAAATTGATTCTCTAAATCACCTACAATGGTGTAATAAATCATCTTTCACTTGATTGGTCAAACTGATTCTCTAAATCACCTACAATGATTTAGTAAATCCTCTTTCACCTGGTTGGTCAAACTGATTCTCTAAATCACCTACAATGGTGTAATAAATCATCTTTCACTTGATTGGTCAAACTGATTCTCTAAATCACCTACAACGGTGTAGTAAATCCTCTTTCACCTGATTGGTCAAACTGATTCTCTAAATCACCTACAATGATTTAGTAAATCCTCTTTTACCTGGTTGGTCAAACTGATTCTCTAAATCACCTACAATGATTTAGTAAATCCTCTTTCACCTGATTGGTCAAACTGATTCTCTAAATCACCTACAATGTTGTAGTAAATCCTCTTTTACCTGGTTGGTCAAACTGATTCTCTAAATCACCTAGAATGATTTAGTAAATCCTCTTTTACCTGATTGGTCAAACTGATTCTCTAAATCACCTACAATGGTGTAGTAAATCCTCTTTACCTGGTTGGTCAAACTGATTCTCTAAATCACCTACAATGGTGTAGTAAATCCTCTTTCACCTGGTTGGTCAAACTGATTCTCTAAATCACCTACAATGATGTAGTAAATCCTCTTTCACCTGATTTGTCAAACTGATTCACAAAATCGCCGGGATTGATGTAAAAATAGACAAATTGCAATTTTTACGAATTTTACTTTCCTTCGCGAAATACCAAAAGAAATCATAGAACTGAGCTATGTGATCACCGGAGTGCTATCGTGGTGATTACACTATATATACACAATTGAGTCGGACTATTTACTTAAAAATAGCCATTTAAATACCATATGTAGCTACAACCGTGTTTTTCCAGAGAGTGATTGTCAACCATGATCCAATCAAATGCGCTCTTTGAGAGTTTTGCATCTTGGTTTTGACGTTTATTTAACAAGAGCTGAACTTTCATACAATTTCATGTCTTGACATTGTTATAAGTAGCAACGATACACTGTAGTCAGAGTTGTTTACTTTCAATAATCGTACATGTCTCATTATAATTATTGACTTAGTTTTCATTATTTCAGTGTCTCAACACTCCTCGACGAACCGGTAAACGAAAACACGACGGAATGTTTCCACATCTTACATCTAACCAACTGTTTTTGTTTTGCGAAGTGCTGGAGAACTCGTATAAGTTTGCTAAAGGCTTCAATTTTAACAGCAAGCTGAGGACGGCGCTTTGGAAAGCTGGTAAACGCTTCATTAATATATTGTACCATTTGACACGAGCGACACATTTTTGTACAATTTCTATTCGAATTGGAAATTAATACACGAGTAAAAACATCACATTCAAAACGTTCAAGCAAAAAGGCAAATTTGTGGCTGTCCTTCCTATTAGGGCACTCACTCCAAAAGCTGTACATGTCCGTATACCTAGACACCCACATGCAGCGTGACCAAGTTTGTTTACCAGATTTGGTCGTATAAGCTAAATTGTCCTCCCCTTTTCTGAATGTTGCATCTACATAAAACAGGAGGAAAATTCTAAGGTCATTAGACTAAGTCTTGTGAAAGTAAGAAACATTTGCTTTTATGGTTTTCTAATAAATAAAGATAAAAAGAGGCAAATTCAAAAGAGGAGAATGAAAAAACTTGATCCAGGTTTTATAGGACAGGGAGTAAAGATGCCTCAGATTTTGCTGGACTTCCATCAAAACTTGAATCAGAATCCTCGGTGTCATAGGCTTGATGAGGACACTTTGATGTTGTCCATGTTTCTTCTCCTTTACGTTTAAGCGGGGTCCTCGATTGCTCGTACTCTGATAGCGTAATAAAAACCAAAGGATAATCCGTTCCCCTTTTATTTGGGGTTCTTCTTATCAAGGCAAAATAATTTGAGCAAATGAAAGTACCTTGTGCACCAGGCTTCGGGTTAAAGTCATCCGCTCTGCTGTTTGCAATTGTTTTCACCAAATTTCAGCAAGTGCTTGATCTTTGGGCCACTTATGAAAAACTAAATTTTCTACATGAGACCTCTTAACTTGGTAATAGGGATAGCTTATATCATTATCGCAATATCCAACTGCACAACGCGCATTTTTTACCATTTTGGCTATGACTGCTCACGGCTACTCGGCTAGTTTAGGGTTTAGTTCGTTTGACTTGGCTTATGAGATCCGCACATTTGCGAACCCAAGAACATCGCTCAAACGACGGTCAAGTTGTTCAAAAAAAAACAAATGTTTTCTTTAACTTTCCGCTTTTTGATTACCACAAAATTGGACTCACGTGTATAAAAAATTGCAAATAATAGTTTGACTATTAAAATGGATGAGTTTGAGAAATATTTTTGAAAGAAATGGCCAATATGTATATTGTATAAGGGTAATTTTTGCGCATTTATTAGTAATTTATATGGACGCCATGCGTGACCGCGCGCTCGGCGCAATGTTTTTGCAACATGGCTGCGATAACCTTGAAAAGGTCTATTATGAAGGATCACGGTGGTCTATTTTTACAATTTGAAGATAAATAAAAAAATCATGTTTCAACTAGGATTTTGTGATTAAATCTTTCAATTTTTTGTTCTCAATGTAAGAGGCCAAGTGCTGCAAGTAAATAGTTGGCTTTCACTCGTTATTTTTTTAAATGGATACTAAAATATTTCAGTTTCTAAAGAAAAATTACAACATAATAATCTATTTTAAAAGCGTTCATTGAATTTCTAAAAGAAAAATCTCGCTAAGTAATTGCATGAAGCATAAAAACTTGTGCGATCAACAAAAAAGCAAGAGACACCAAGTAACAGGAGTCAAATTGGAAAAGAAAAATTTTAAACTGCGACGTTATTTCAAACTGAATCAAAGGTTTTACCAAAATCAAAGGAGACCACTCGAACAAAATCTGTATTCTCGTTCAACCATTTTAACCAAAGTTACCGACGTTTGTAGCCCATGCAACTTAACTAACATATATTACTGAAAGTACTTAACAAAAACGGAAAATGCCAAATGAGAAATTAATTTAACCTAGTGCAGAGAAGCCTAACCTCATCAAAGGAGCCTTTGTTAAAAGATATTATATCTTTCTTAAATGAAGTACGATTACTCAATGTTTCCTGTTTCTAGTTTGTTATTTGCATTTTATTTGATGGAGAAACTTTTCCTTTTGTTTCAATGCAATAAACCATATTTAATCATTAGTACTTTGCTTGAAGTTTTCTCTTGTGCCAAAGAAGACAAGTACCTCTAAAGTTTGAACGCTTCTACCAAGGTATTTATAAAAACAACTAATATTTGAAATACCATCGATCAATTTTCTCTAAAAGCGATTGTCCCTCAAGTTTAGTCACGCTATGAAAATTTCAGAACTTTATGATCATTTATTTCTTTGGAAACCTATTGTTTTCATTGAGAGTCTTTCACTGATTATCAGAAAGTTTAATAAAATCAATTGTGTTTTTAATGTACACCGTGAATGTTTATCGACATCAAAACAATGTTCTAAAGCTATTCATCCGACATCACTATTTACTTAATAAAACTTAAACAGAGAAAAACAACTTAAACTGTGTTTGCATTAGCCTGTACAAACGTGCGTATCTGAGCTACATGAATTATATCAATCAAAGATAATTTGCAAATGAATCATGAATACATGTTAGAGAAAATTTTAAACTTTCTTGAAGTTGTCTGTTTCGCATTACTATTATTTACAAAAGAACTAAAAGATGTTTTTTGTGTTTGTACTCGCTTATGTAAACCTTGAGACGTAAGTGAGAACTCTCTAGCTGGTGCAAACTGTCAACTTCGGTGTAAAGCTTGCACTAACATTGTCTCCAGTTCTACCAAATATCACTTCCGTTTGCTTAACCCTGTACAACAATTAAGCATCTTTTATTTCCAAATCCCATCCTATATTCAGTCTTTACAATCCTCTTGTTTAAATTTTTTGTGGGTGTGCAAGAGGTGAGGTGTGACCTTTCCTTACTAATTATCAATATACCAACAATTAAATTTTTTATTTTATCTTCCTGTCATCCATTAATATCCATTCATATTATCCATTAATGTCCATTCGTGTCCTTTATTGCAGAAGCACAGACTGTCGTTGATATATATTTAAATTACGACTGTGAATTGGCTTTGTCGAATATCTTTCAAAGATTGATCAATGATTGGTCTAAAGTTGCCCAAGGATGTCAAGCTCTATTGAATTAGGAGCGACACCAGTAAGTTGATGAATATGTTTCAAACTGTTTAGTTCTCTACATTTTCTTGTTCATATCTATGCCACTCGAAAAGGACTGGAGCGTAGTCTATTATGAAAAAACTGGGACATAGTCTATCAACATGAAAAGAGTAGAACATGTCTCTAATTTTTTGTGCTGACAATGTTGATTATAATACATCTTTTATCACGTTTTTATATGAATAGTATCAATGTCATCTTGTTTTTATATGATTTTCCAGGTTCAAGAACGCAGTATTTGTATCAAAGGTCTGGAATGTCTCGTTTCTATTCTTAAATGTATGGTAGAATGGAGCAGGGATCTTTACTTTAAACCTGGTTCTCAGGAGGCCGATAATTTTGGTGAGTTTTAACATCTTTATGAAACTGAAGAAACTCGCATGTAGCGAATATAAACTTAATATTGTTATACATTTCGATAACTTATCGCTTTATGATCCATTGTACTTCTCTTTTGATATCGGCTACACTGAAGAATTTTGTCTCCATCAAGATTCCATCTTTCTATACTCTGTATCCCCTATTTATCGAAGGTACTCCATTATTTTCTTATACACGTTAATGTTCTTAATCATAACTAGTTGTTCGACAATTGTAGTTAACCTCTCAGGATCTAAGTTATCCCTTGGTTATCTTTTTCCCTTGCTGGTGTCGCTGTGGATCAAGGCTAAATCTTAATGTTTATAGTTACTGATTATTGACTCATGCTACCCTCAATGTTCTAGTCTATCTCTCAATAATCTATACTATCTTCCGATAATCTAGGCTATCTGTTAATGATCTATGCTAACCTCTTAATGATCCATGCAATCCCTTATTGATCTTCAAATCATCATAGTTATTCCTCAATACTTCTGTTTAATCTCTTCCATATAAATTTCCTGACAGATCTGGTTGATCGTGCACGAACAATTTCTCGAAAGGAAGCACCAAGGAGAGAAAACAGGGGAACGGTGATTTATAATCTCAAAAATGGGGGTAGTCACTTGTCTCTCAAAGTACAAAAGCCATCGATAATGCTGAAGAATTTGAGACTCTTAAACAGAAGAGGAGACGAGAGAAAGGGAATTTAATTGTAAGTTTGGTCAACAATTTGCTTATCTTTTGTACTTTTATTCAATTTTACTATTTACTTTAAGATTTAACAAGAATCCATCAAAGGTATGGAATTGCTTCAATCTGAAGGTCTCCTTCGTGAGACAGCAACCAAAGTCGCTCAATTCTTACATGCAGATGATACACTAGACAAGGTGATGATCATTTAAGTGTTAATCTATGAACCATGTGTTAATTTTTTTCATTTAACATCAACAATAATTTAGGACAGGTTTTGACGATTTTCGGTTGACAATGTTGATTATAATACATCTTTACAGATTTGCAAAGTGAAACATCGTCGTATGTTGTATTCTATGGAAATGGAGCAGATGGCGGAAAACGCCAAAAAACAAATGGAAGACGTGAGTCATATTCAGACGGATTTCGTCACTGCGACACAGATTGGTCACGTGAAGACAATGTTCAAGGTACGGGGGGTGGAGTCTGGAGGATAATCTATGTGGTGTATGTAAGGATTGATTAACGAAGCGTGAATTGTGATGTCAACTTATATGGACAGTGCCAAGTACGGGGGGCGTAGATTTCAAAACATGATGACATTCATCTTAATCTTGTTAAAGAAAAGACTTAGATTTTATGTAATGAATGTTTGCGATGACGAAGAGTAAATCTGTTTGATAATCTAATATATTAACTGAGCAGTGAATGATTTGACTGAATTTTCTTTTGAGATAATCCACTACTTAAGCTAAATCTGCTTCTTACAACCTGCCCAGTCCCCATTGTTAACCATTTTGTTTTGTGTGTTTAAGGTTGCATGGAGTCCGTTTCTTGCCGCGTTCAGCTTCAATCTACAAGACAACGACGATTCTTCTGTTGCTTTATTTTGTCTTGATGGAATCCGCTGTGCAATAAGAATATCTTGCATATTCAGCATGCCTGTAAGTTGATAAACATACAAAAATGTGTTCTTTTATATATTTGGGTATGAAATAACGACATTAATGTCTCTGCATACCTTTTCATCACCTGGTGACCCTTTCTCGGACATAAATATGTATTCAAAAATATGTTGAATGTTGAATTGTTGAAATTTATGAATATATTTACGTAGTTACATACACGTCATGTTCTTTGCGTGTTATATGTTCAAGGTTTAGATTATACTCATATGTATACAATAAAAACAGATGTTTGTTTACCTTTGAATTAATTGTCTGTTTGTGTACATATATGGATATATCAGAATGCATGTGAATGTGAAATAATCTTTTCTTAAAAGTTTTCAATGATTACAGCTAGTTATAATGATGTTAGGGAATATGAATGGAGATTCTTTACCATTAAGTTCATTTTCGATACTCCTAATAACTCTTTTCACATTGTAGTTGGAAAGAAATGCTTTCGTACAAGCTCTATCCAGGTTCACTTTAATTACTGCGACCAGTGGCACGCATATTCATGAAATGAAAACGAAGAACATGGAGACGATCAAGACACTTCTTACCATCGCTCAAACGGATGGTAATTACATCAGGAAGTCTTGGCTCGAGGTAGAGAATCATCTTGCTATATATTATGGTTGGTGTCTACGACTGAAAATATGATCGATTGTTTTTTCATCAAAGGAAAAAGTCTAGGTCTTGTCTGTAGTCTTATCTTCACGATATTGCTACAGTCTTTACCTTTCATTTTTCCAAGTGCTTTGTTGACCGTATTTCATACCCTTCATCAGAGAATCGTATCACAAATGTACTTCTGTAATAAATATACATAAGAAAATGAAGTTTTTTCTCAAGATATTTTTTATTTGAAGATATTTTCTACGTATGTATTTAACGTTTATGTTCGTCTTGTTGAACACTCGTTTTCGTTGCTCAAATGCTCGTTCCGCTCGGCGCATATTTTACTTTTCCCTAAAGTCATTGTTTTCATTCTAGATACTGAAATGCATTTCCCAACTTGAATTGGCTCAACTTATCGGTACTGGTGTGAAAACGCGATACCTTCACACGGCGTCCAGCGGTGTTACTAATTCACCCACAGCATTCATCGCAAACAACAAGACACCTTATGATATAACCTCAGGTTGCTTATAACATTGTTGTGACGCTCGTAAATGTCAAATACTAACGTTGGGTGCTTTTCTTTGTTTGTATTTCTATGAAGGTCGGATGCCTGTTGCCGCTGACTCGAAAAAAGCGGCTGGCTCACAGGAAGCCATTTGGGAGACCGCTGCACAAAGTGTTGTCGTTGCAGTTGACTGGTAACGTTTACTTTAATGATAGCTATGGGGATTGTCTTTTGTGACCTATCTCCCACCCCAGGGGCGAAGCTAGAACTTTAATGCAGGGGGAGAGGTGAATATTCATATATATGGTCATACATTCCGCTGTGACCAACTAATTTCTTTTCAAATTAAAATAGCTTTTAAACCAAATCAGTCAAGCAAAACTAAATATTCACCCCTCCCATCCAGCGTTCTTGCTTCTTCCCTTCCCCCCTGCCAGAAATCTTTAAAATTGTCTTCAAGGTAGAGTTGGGCTTGTAACAGCAAGAAATGTTGATGGATGATTCTCTATGTAGACATGTTCATTATCCGTGTTAGCAGAGTCCTGAGAAGGACTGTTATTGTTATTGTTGACTGACGTTTTGACATCCTTAGCGGTAGTCATCTTCAGGCTTAAGTGAACCAGAGAACCTTGAATATAAACATGAAAATAAATTTTAAAGAACTCCTGCACTGTCTTTGCGTTATGTTCTCTCAGCAGAATATCTTCATCTCAACTTCTTCATTGTGTTTTATTACGTTTAGAGTTTTCACGGGATCAGTGAAACTGGATGGTGATGCTATCGGTAGGTTTGCATGTATACATTAAAATGCATCTTACATAAGATTTTTATACATCTAACTTGACCATAATTCACTGACCATTGTTTATCCCAAGTACCCAAATTTCTAGTATCCAAATTCCCTGTTCCCAAATACCAAAACCCAAGTATCCAAATCCCAAGTATCCCAAATCCCCAGTGTCCCAAATCCCCAGTATGCAAATCCCCAGTTCTCAAATCCCAAGTATCGTTATCTCCTGTATCCAAATCTCAAAATGTTTTCGTTTTTTCTCCTAAGTCGATTTCGTGGAAGGTTTACGTCAAGTCTCGGAAGTTCAGCTTTCCAATCCTACAATGATACGTATGTTTAGTCTGCAGAAGATCGTAGAGATTGCTTATTACAATATTGTTCGTATTCGGGTGCAATGGTCACGAATATGGGCTGTGTTGGGAGATCATTATAACAAGGTTAGCAATTATTAACGACTAAGACTGTATCTTGATATTATGGTTAATAACATCACGTTGTTATGATGTACTCAGGTATAGTAACAAGATAATCATTGTCTTCAATGTTCTATGAACTACACTATCAGATCAATTGTGAACTATGATGATATTTTAAAACACAGTTCTAGTTTCTTTCATATCTCAAGTATAAAAACAATATAATCA